GTGTGCGAGAAGAAGCGCTGCCTAGCTATGTACGAATAAGGTGCAACATTCCCTAGTTTGCATGAGATATCACACACAGCCGGGCCGATTCTCCCGGGTTGATCAGTCGAATGGGTAAGCAGTTAGTGTGTCCAAAATACCGCGAGTGGGCCCCCCCCCCCCCCCCCCCCCCCCTTCTGATCTGTTTTTCTACCTTTGCTTCAGTAGTCCAGTGCAAAGCCCTTGCGCTTCACGAGCCCCCTTGTGGTCCCTTTTTACTTTTTAGTTTTCTTGACACGACCCAAGGGAATCCATCTCTATTTAAGAAAAGTTTAAGTAAGATAGATTATCAATTAATCCATAGCGTCAGCGAAGGGTACCTGCATTTCCACGATTTCCCGAGCTCTTTTTGCTCTCTCTGCTTTCTGGCAAACTAACTGCTGTGGTCCGTCTCTTTGAGGGGGGGGGGGCGCAAGTAAGTGGTGCCGCGACGGGGAGGGGTAGGGGGTGACAGCTGTGCGCTAATACTTTAGCCATTGCAGCGGTGCATTCATTTCACATTATGTTTGTCGCCGAGGTGCAGACGTCCACTTCAGTGTAGACTACACGGGATTTGTTTTTTTTCGCCGGTGTCGCGAAAGACATGCTAAAAGCACACCATGTAGATACAGAGAGAGGGGGTCGCTGTTTAGTGCTTGATGTGCCCAGAAAATTCGCCTGCACTATACCGGACCGGCCCTTTTCAAGGTACTGGCAATGCCTTGGAAATTCAGTGTGTGCCCGCCGAAAACACCGGCACCAGACTATACAGCATTAGCACTATTCAACCGGCACTCAACAGGGACCCTCTGTAGTCAAGTATTCATCTACAAGGCGCGTACGTACATGGGCCGAAGCGATATTTTGGCGGGGTCCCTTGTAGTTTTCGTCACACGACTGAGAGGACGCCCCCATGTTCAGCAAGAGCTGTGCTATGACCTGTGGTGTTGCTCCACCCGGTGAGTAAATGCCAGCGCAGAGGCATATACAAAATCCAATTAACAAGAATTGGGCTTGGAAGTAGTCACGGATGGACTACAGAACATCGTCTTATCACGTCATCAAACCATAACCTTTAGCGGCGTCCTGCCCATCGTCGCGACATGATTGGCTGAAAGGATCACCCAACCCATCCACACTTCACACTAGGGTGCCATCCCCCCTAGTTGAAGTGGATGAATCCGTTCGAACTTGCGACTAAAGCTGGAGAAACGTATCACGGGACGAAAATCAAGCACTCGACAAATAATGTAAGCTGGAAGGCAAACAATCCCCAAGATCCAAAGGCGATCAACATCGATTGTTCTGGGCATAGACACCCCTCCCTATATATTGTTCGCTACAACGTCATGCCCCGCACCCTGTGCTCATGGAAATGATACGCTGGAGCTTGGATCAACGCCGTGCCAAAAACTCAGGTACGGAACGAACTACTTGTACTTTGTATCGGGCTGTTGAGTTCTGCCAGCCCCGCCAAACAGAGAAGCGAACAGCTCCGAAGGTTCCATCGGGGGTGCCTCATACTCCTGTCACAGAGACGCATCATCGACGCACGAAAAAGCGGCAACCATTGAGCGTGATGGAGCAGAAAAAAGAGCGAGTTCAAGCAAGCAAGACGCCCGCGCACGACTACACTGCAGCTGTGCGGATCGCCACAGCCCTAAATTATACGGATACACAAACTACCGCAAGGCCAGAAGTGGGTCTTACTCGTAGAGCAGTTCGGGGATCCTCCCGGCAGGCAGAACCCACCTCACCGGTCATCGACCCCTCTTGATGCGCGCAACTCCGAACGTTCCCAGCAGAGCAATCAAGAGCACCGCAAACACAGACACCGTCAGTACCCTCCCGAGCTCACCTGCGGGAACATGAAGTTCTGCATCTTGGGGTGCGTGACGTACTTGATCTTGCGCCCTTTGGACGCCTTCCGGTCCACGCTCTTCTTTCGCGATTTCCGTCGGACGGGAACCGCGGAGTAACCGCTGCCGGCGGTCCCGCTGGCGTCCATAAACTCCTGAAAAACCAAAACGAGGGAACACGCATCCATGTACCATGTACCAGTACATGGCAAAGTGCGTGCGTTTAGAGTGGCACGGCACATGGTGCTGGCGATATGCTTCGTGAGCGAACGGTGAACGAAAAACCTTCGTCCAACGCAGTGCAAGGCAGCAGAGTCAAGGTCTGCAAGGAAGCCTAACTTCAACTCCAACACTAGTCGTACAAGAGTCTAAGCGTACAAGAGAGAGCGCGAAGCTGCTGTCAGGCTTCGAAGCTCTAGAGTGCTATTGGTAGTCCCCCCCCTCCGAGATGTTTCAAGGGGCATTCCCGATGCAAAAACCGCACCTACACCGTTCCACCTCCCCTGGGGTTCCAATCTTGTGCTTAATCTTGTACTTGTACTTCTACAAGGTACACACATTGCAGAACGCGCCTCTCTCCTGAAGTTGTCTCTCCTACACATGCTTGAATGGAGGTCCAGCATGGGGGCTTTGTGTCCCCCCAGGGTACGTACACTGGTACTATTATCATCCCCGGGGATTCGGGGAATATGCCGGACATTCCCGGTCGATGAGTAACGTGGAACACCCGGGGGTGAGGCTTATTAATCCCCTCAAGGCAAAATGCACGCACGCACACACACCCTCGCCGATCAAAATAATTGCGTAAGACACGGTGTTCCGAACGGTCTGTTTTGGCTGTTTAACTGCCGCAGCAGCCATGACAAGGAGCGTTCTGGCGAAGTACTTTTGCAACACACCGTCCGATATCCGATATGGGACATCGTGGAACAGAACGCGGGAAGTTTTCGGAGGTTGTCCGTTCCCCGGCCCAGCATGGGCCTATGACAACGAGTACTTGATGTGCGCACCAGATCGATCCACGTCAACAGCCCTTGGCAAACCAGTCTGGCTTGTTTCGTGAACTGCAACGTATGTCATAACCCCCAAGACCGACACCGCAAGTTGGAATCGACCCGCCCAGTCGACAGCAGCATCATCAAGACGTAAAGCAATTGAACCAAGTCCGAGGCGCGACCAACTTGCAACACAAACAGTCGAGTGATATGTACCTTGCGAAGACATGCAACACCAAAACTCGACTGCTAGATATCTTGAGCAGAAACGCAACACCAACACTCGACATACACCTTGAGTAGACACGCAACCAGCATCGAGTTATGTACCTTGAGTAGGTGCTGGTACAGGTTGCGGTCGTCAACAACCTCCAGGTCGAGCGGCTCGGCTCCATCTTTTCGTCTCACACGCCCGACTACGTCTTCGTCGCCCTCATCGTCACTCCTCCCCCCCGCCGCCGCCGCCGCCGCCGCCGCTGCCGAGCCGGCGTCGCCGTCGCCTTTGGCCGCGTCGAGATGCTTGGCGAGTTTTCGTCCAAGAAACTCCGATGTCTGCGTCACATCATGAGGTACATGTCACGATACGGTGGGCGGAGCCGCAGGAGAATTGACACGGGGGTTGGGGGGAGCAAAATCGTGCGTGCAAAAGCCGCGACAAAAACAATGTATTTGTACACCGTATAGCAGTAGTGTTTTCTTGTTGTTTTTAGGACCATGAAGACAGATCTAGCAGCTATTAATAGCTCATCAGAAGGTTCACGAACACTAGGCTGTCCACATGTTTGGCGACCTACAACCCGAGGGATTCAAAAATCCATAGTTACGCATACGCTCGACGAAAAGGCTCTCACAATGAATTTACCAAGTGCCAAAACCCAACACTCAACGAACTGCAACTGTTGCTTCCAACTCCGGCACCGTTGACAAGCTCGCCATCACGGACGCCCGGGTGTAAGAAGGGATACGTGGTACCGAACCCGTACAATCACCTGGCGTGTGTTAACCGCAGACCGCTGTGGTATACCACAAAAGTAAAGACTCGACCCTGCAAAGAAGGCGCCCGATGCCAAGGCAATACACGAGCGGTTCGTTAACGGTAGAGCACAAACACAACAGTGCCTTCAACGTCACAAACCTCCGCTCCCCAACCACCACCTTCTTCGTAGGTCCGTGGGGACCAAAAAAACACAATCCATGCACCGGACAAATGTCTCCCAGGACAACACACAGCAAAAAAAAGTGGAACCCAATAATATTCACCTCCAGCACACCCCAACCCTACCTAACCTATCCCACGCACCTCCGACTCCGTCATGAAGGACCTTCGGTTCGCCCGTTCTCTGTCGGCCAAGCTCGCCGTGATCTGCGCCCACGGACCCTGGTTCACCACCTTAAACTTCTTCTGCAGGCCAGGGTCGACGAGCTGCGTCCTCTCGTGCCACCGCCCCAGCACGTCGCTCCACCACCCCATGCAACTCCCGTGCTCCGTCGCCGCCACTGCCTCCTCGCCCTCGGCATTACCCTCGGAGATGGTGGTCGGGCCCTCGCCTTTGTCCTTGCCGTTATCGTTGCCCACCTTCTGCTCATCGTCGTCATTGGTGACCATCGCTGCCTTGCCGGCATCGCCACTACCGCTGCCGCTGTCGCCGCTTTTGATGTTGGCGATTCCCCAGCACGACATGTGCGATCGCCGCACGGCTGACAACTGGGTGGCCAATCCTTGCGCGGCGCCTGCGCTTTCCTCGGCGAGAGCTGTCAGCTGCTCGTCACCCTCCAAGAACAGAGGGAGCTCGTTCGGTCCTGAGGTTCGGAGAGAACGGAATATTCGGTAAATACTACCAGTAGGCTACGGGCACCTTGATGAATGGGATATGTATGCAACGGGAGAGACGGCAAAGGCACGCAAAGAACAAAACGGAGGTGCCGGGGGGCACGCGGATAAAACCTGGACCTGCCCACTATAATAGCAGCCAGGCTCGGAGGAACAGAACGGGGGTCACACGTTAGGAGACGTCTGCAGACCCGAGAAACGGTACCCGCACGGGAGCGAGCGACGTCACCGCCCGGGAAAGCACGCCCCCCCCTCCACCGATTGCTGTGCATCTTTCTTCGTAGGATTCCGCGCCGAAAATCGCTGGTTATTCCAGCCTTACGAGACAAGAAGGACGGCTGTGCTGCTAGCTGTGCTGTATACTCTCGCCGGGTCACCTGGCAACTTGTTGGCTGCGTTCATGAGGCGCTGCAGCAAGATTCGGACCTCGAGCAAGCTATCCCACCACTCCCGCTGCCTGAACGAGCAAGAGCGGAACACGAAGAGACCGTGACAAAAAATAAGGGGTATATGGTAGGCGAGCGGGGGAAGAGCTTTAGTGGGGAGAAACGACACCAAGAAACGACAACTCTTCCGGTCTTTCGTTCGATATCTAACCGAGGCCGGCGAAAGAAGCGCTCTGCTGGTTTGATCAAATCGGGATCCACCGCCAATACCAAATGGACCCTCTGTGGGGAACAAGACCCGCGTGCGGTCTGCAAACTTCAAAGCTCACCTGAGTGCCTCCCTGGCTCGCCGAAGCTCTCCCTGTCCCGCAATACCCCCGCCGTCCCTCCTGGCCTTCTCATCTTGTTCGTCAAGCTGCTTCATCTGCTCCTCCACGGAGGCACCCGTGTCCACGTCCCCCCCCCTCACACCGGCAAACACGCTCGCCTGCTGCTGTCTTTGACGCTTGCCCCCGCCCGCTCCCCCACCCCCTCCGTCCTCTTCGTCCTCCCGCCCACCCCAGTGGACGCGCTTCCCTGCTCCCTGCCCGCTTCCTCGTTTCGGCGGTGACGACGCAGTCATGTCGCCATCTTCGTCGTCCTCGTCTTCCTCACCCTCCTCTGAGGAGCTAACATCGTCAAGGTTCAATGATGGCACCATCTTTCTTGAAGAGGACGCCGCTGTTCCGTCCCCACTCTCACTAATGTCGCCATCGTCGTTGCCGTCGTCGTCAGAGCTGCCGTCGCCCTCCGAAGCCTGGTCTGGATCGTGTGCGTCTCCTGTCGCGGCAACCGAAGCAGAGTTATTCCACTTTTAGTGCTGCTGCAAAGGTGTGGATAGCTCAGGTTGATTGGGAATGGAACCAAAATGCTCCCTGCCTCACGGCACCCCCCTATCAGTTAAAGGTGTCTTGATTTCTCCTTCATCTTTTCTTGTGCTTTCGATTCGGTGCACTCGAGACATTGAAATAGAGAGGGAGGGGTCTCTCCTTTGAAGGGACGAAACTACAGCAGTACAAGGTCATCATAATACTTGATGAAAATTAAAATGAGCCGCGGAGCGCGAAGCGCGACATTTTTCCTTTTATCTTCGGGAGGGAGAAAAAGGCTCTACATATTTGGCTCTTCCAAACAACGTGATGGAGGGGCCCTCCCGCAATTTCCACCTAATTCTGGAGCGCCCGAAAATAATCGCCTTTGTTCGACCGGAACAAGGTCTATAGAGCACCCATTTACAATCTGCCGGCTTGTGAGGAGGGAGCAAGTTAGGGCATTCTTCGTCACGCTGGGTTGGTCGCGCTCTAGCAACAGATGGCCGTCCTCGACAGGAATTCCTCCCCAAAATCATGAGAGATTTTTACCCCTTTCCCCGTGGCATTGTAGAGGTAATGGAGGAACAAAAAAATCGGAGATCTCCCACACACACACGCAGTTGCTTGGTTCAAACCAGGATAAACAGAGCAAGCACTCAGCTAAAACACGCAACGTCGCAAGGAGTGGCAAGACGGCACTGGCAAGGGAAGGGATCCATACAACGGCGCAGCTACTCACGGGTAGTGCCATTTCTCTCTCAAGAAATACGGCGCGAGATGAGGTGTGGGAGTCGGACTCTGAAGTTCCTACAGCAATATTTGAACATCCGTGGGCGCCTTTTACCGCCAAAGGGGGACGACAGAACTCCTTCTGGGAACGGACACATTCCCTCGTTCCTCGTGACAATAATTATAATTTACGGTTGGTTCTACAGCAGTATTAAGTGCAGTCTAGCCTCACCTACTGCTGTTGCTTCGAGGCTCTTCCTGGACACCCGCTTGCCGTGGTACTCCTGCCCGATGCTCTCCATGTCGGCCGCCACGCGAAGATCCGCGGAAGGGCGGTGTTGGTTCATCTTCGAGTCGCCTCCCTCGTCATAGTTGTCGTCATCGTCGTACCTTTGAAGGCCTGTTGGTCAAGACATTTCCGCAGTCCAGTGAGAGTTTTGTGCATACAGTACTGCTGCTGTACAGCCTGCGGTTTGTTCCCCACTACTGGTGTAGCAGAAGGATGGAAAGGAAGAACGAATCCTGAAGCAGCTCTTGTCAACACGGAACATTTACCTGCTTGCAGTGCTGTGTCATGTACATGACATTTCTTCGCACTGGATGAACTACTGCTGTACAGCATGGACTACAGCCATCACGCAAGCGCTGCATACTACCTCTTATTCTGAAAGGGAACCTACCTGTTTGTGCTGTGCTAGTTGTACTGCTTTTGACATTTGCCAAGATTCAGTGAGCGAACAGGCATAGGTCACGCTTCCGTGCTATTGTATCCATGAAAATCCGCAGTCCTCCTACCGGTTCGTGTACGACACTAGGTACGTCACTTCGACTTTGATGTCTGGTATCGGTGCCTTTAGTAGGGTATAGTGTAGACTTGCAGACGACATGTAGATGGGTTTGGTTCGGGGTGCGAACCACCAATCAGCTGCTGTAGACTGCTGCACTGCTGTCAACACGGCACCCATATAAAACGAACGCCTCATCTAATCTCCAATATAAAACCTGCATAGTTCATGCAGCTGCTCACTAAAGTCATTGATGTCTTACAAGGGGTACAGGCAACATAGGAGAGTCGCATGTTGACTCCTAGACTATACTCGACCAACCAACCTCCCGTGTCCCACGAGAGAGTGGAGAGGGTGTTACTCGAGCCTGGTGTGCGTGGCTCACACGCTCGGGAGAAGATAAGCCTGCGATGGAGACTGTGGTCGTGGGTACAACAGAAAACCGAACGCTAGGCAAGATGCCCAAGGTGGGACCTGTTTTCATGGCATGGCAACGGGGCTGTGCTGTTCGTACAGCCACAGGCGTATATGTTCAATGATGTGTGTCGGCGTCGCTCCGTGGCTACAAAATCTCCGCACCTGCGCCAGTTCCGTCGTCGAAGTCAGGTGCATCAGGATTGAAGGCGGTACATGGAGCTGACGAGGTCAACTCAGCCAGCCTGGCCGACAGCGTCTTCCTAGACTTGTTCGACATCGAGGGAGACAGCAGCGGCCAGGAACGAGTCACCCGATCAGTGTTGCAGTGTTGCGGCTGCCAGCCAGCGGAGGGCGGAGGACGGAGGTGCCTCTCATTTTTTTTTTATCGCGGTTCTCGAGGCATTTCACATCAGGCGGCAGGATGGATTACGGTTCGGCATCGGAGAACTTGGCCGAGACCTTCGGACTTCGGACCATCGCCATCGGAGATCGGAGATCGGAGACTCGGAGACGTTGCCCGTTGCCCTTTGCTCCAGCACCGCGCACGCCAATCGATCCCGAAGCGCGAAGCTGCTGCAAGCTCGTCCACGAGAACTTCGGTTACTTCTGTATGTACACAGTTAGGTGACACGACAACAAGATACCACAACCTTGACCGATTTTCAAAGCTCGATAATAACTCCAAGACGAAGAGGGTGCCAAAATCAAACATGTTTTCGGAAAGATCTCGAAGAGACGGACGGTTCCGCCATTATTTGTACTGCTGTGGAGTAATCGAGCTATGGAAATCGGTCCAGGCAGGGGGTGCGACAATATCTTGTGTATGGTGTCGCCTACGGTGTGGTTTGGGCTCAGCGAGATGAGGCTCACACATCTTTCACCCTCTTCCTTTCATTGCTCCGCACACACTGATCACGAAGGTACGTTTTGGTCTGCAAGGGTCCCCCCATCCCCACGCCAAAGGACGGCTGCACCTTTTCTAACGGGCCGACGTTGGCCTTGTGGGTTGACGTTCGACGCGGCCGCACAGAAACATGATGTTTGGTGGTGCTGGGAATGTCTAGCCGAAACTCCCAGTCTCCATCGTTTCGCGGTGCAGCCGACGATACATCCACCACGAGTGGCCAACTCGACACCTTTGCAACACGTAGGTGGGTCCTTTCCTTCCAAGCAAAATCTCTTGGCTAACCTGCAGCGCATCTTGATTGCCCTACGTCTAGTTCTTTGCTCCCCCGCCACGCCACTCAGCCCCTTTTGAAGGAACAAAGTGATTATTATCAAGTCTAAACCAAAATAACAAAAGCAAGCAGATTACGCAAGTGGGGGGCAGGAAAAGAGAGAGAGAGAGAGCGACATGAACCCACTGTTTCTCATGCTCGCCGTCCTCTCCTGATATCTCCACAACAAACTCCGCGGGGGTAACACTGCTCGTGAGGGTATGGAAGGAGGGAGACCTTGGCGTGGTGAACTGCCGTTCTTTCTTTCACAGCGTCATCCACACGAACGCGCGTGCTGCGCGCCGGGTGGATCGCTGGCCAACCGGAATACTCACACAAAACACAAAGGAAGAGAAATAAGACTGAGACAGAATGACAAAAGGGGGTGAAAACACAAAAACACAAAAAAAAAAAACAAGGAGCGGACGCGACTCGCAGCTATACTCGTCATTTTCTCGGATGGCATCATGGCAGAGCGGAGACAGGAAAACGCACACGCATACAGCAAGACGGCAGCGAGGCGACTCGCGAGCAAGCCGTACATAGCGCGCAAATTACGGCGCCGCCGAGGAGGAGGACAAAAAGCGGAAACCAGGTTCCCCCAACCGTTTCAGACATCTGCAGCTGAACCCTACTTGTCGCGCGCCACAACTATCGCCATCAAGCACGAGGAAGCATCACGCAGTGCATCTGCTACTTACTGCTGTAGGATACAACCGTTCAAGGCTGTGCAGCAGCAAAACCACAAGACAGCCAAGCAGCGGTTGAAAGCCCCACTCCCACAAAGCCACCGACAAGATCTCTTCGCGATGGACGCGTCACGATATGACACGAGCCAAGGAAAACAGCTCGACCCACAAGACCACAACAGGTCTATCTACGCTTAGAAGCCCTCGCCCCAGTCCTCTACGTCTTCGTAGTTGGACTCGTCCATCTCGGCGAAGTCCACCCTCCAGCGAAGGATGCCGCCGATACCGCCGAACCCCTTGCAGAACTGGCTCCCCTCTTGAGATCTATCCACGGAAGAAAAGAAGGGGGGCGCGGCAAAACGGGGAGATTTTGAGCCAACCGGCTTGAGACAGGGCAACACCTGTGGCGAGCACAGCGGACAAAGATCCACGTGGGTGTGTCCGCGAGAATAGGATGAACAAAGTTCTCGAGGCAAAGCAGGGCCTATGAAAAACACTACAGGCGGGAGGGTGTGTGTCAAGACAGGAGAAAACCAAGGTGGTGAGGAGGGGGAAGGGAGCATTATTTTTCAACAAAAAACAACGCAACACGTAGTATGTACATGCATCTACGGGCGGCAGCAAAGACATACCGGTTGGTGATGAACTCCAAAGCCGCTCCGAAGTTCTTGTAGTTGTTGGCAATCCACTCCACCAAAGACTGCTTGTCTGTAACCTCCAGCTCAACACCGGTCTCCGTGTCGTGGAAATGGGTGTCGTTGTTTTCCTGCAAAAAACAAGAATAAGAAAGAGAGACCGGCGGGAGAAAGCGTCAAAACGCGCGAATAGCAACACAAGACTATACCATGAGCTCAGAACGAACGGAAAGGACAGCACCTTGTGCGTCGAGAGACAACACGTGTGATGGCACCCAGCATACGCAGACACAACCACAATGTCGTACATGCAAGTCACACGCGTGCAGGCGCTTGGAAGTGTGATTACGAAAAAGGCTTGTCAGCGTGCATGACTTGGAGTGGCAATCTGCTGAGCCATCGTCGATTTAATTCGCTAAAACTGCATCAACACAAAATCAGCACCAAGTGAACGAAGCAGGAGGGCAACTTCGAACGAATGACCGCTGGTACTGCCGCCACACCAGCACCACCGAAAACATATCCTACAGGTCCCCAGCTTCAACACCATAAACTCCAACATCTAGAGCATATGTTCTTGAGGTACCTGCTCTGGAGTTAGATGGAGCACCTTCTCCTCCCCCGTGCTGTTGTTCCGTACTTCCAACCTGAAACCAAGCAAAACCACCGAATCCAACACGAGCCAGCGAACGGAGGTGGGCACATGTACGGGTGAAAAGGCCAACAAACCCGCATCGCCAACCTGCTTGCCTCATCGACACACGGGCTCTGCCAAGAATGGAGGGATATGTAGGGATATCGTTTCCGCGGTAGTACCATCCTTTGGATATTACAACTGCGGCCAGTCCGATAATACGACATCGAAAGCACGAGAAGAACTCCGACTCCGGATGAAAAAAATGCACCCGGAAGTGTTCATCGAAAGGCAAAGGTTGTTCCGTAATACTCTCAACGAGACTCATCGGATTCCAAATCTTCCCGCAGTTTGTGACACACAAGAACAAAGGCGCTACCATGTTGCACGAGGATCGCATCGACGCAGCATATCGTGCAAGCACCTGTTGATGTCGAGATTATCCCACACGATGAGGGTCTCCACCGCCCCCAGATCTAGCCCCTTGAGGGTGTCGTCCACCATGAAGCAGTATTTGCCCGTATCCTGGTTGATCTCGTCGAAGTACTTCTGCAGCAGTCGCTTCTCCTGCAAAAATGACATTGAGATGGGAGCAAACCAACGTCATGGAGGGAAATGCCTACCTAAATATGCATACATGAATGGAAACGGTGTGTAGTTGTTGACGCGTGTGGGTGTGATGACTGATCTCGATAGAGGTCATGTAGTGGGTTTTTGCTTTCCCTGCACGTCATGAATGTATGGCCAGAATTTCAAGGTGCATGAAAAGCACTTCGAAGTACATCCCAGCTCCTGTGAGACCTCAGCTGATACTGTTTGAGTTCCAAAAAAAGAGGGTAAAACATTAAAAAATCCCTGTGATGTCTACCTTTTTCCTGTGAGACCTCCGGTGACACTGTACGTCAACTACGTGCTGAAACGTGTAGACGTGATGGGACGAAAATACACACACTATTAATACAAGTTCTCGAAGGACAAGATGACATGTCAACGGATGACTAATTAGTTAGGGTTCCGGAGAGGCACATCCATGACATGCAAGACATGCAAGATAGAAGGCACTCCCGACAAGGCTCGTTTCATGCTGGCCTAGCTCGGCCTCCACATCCGCCGCCAGTCAGCCTTCAGCCTGACCACGTTTCTCCAGCACTGTGCCGTCACCTTCTGTCAGGAGTGAACAAGAAGCTCGAGGATTGAAGCCCGTGCGATTGACGCGCATCAGCACCAACAGCATGTAACAGGATAACACATAATAGTAGTAATCGAAGCACCTGCACGAGCTTGACCGATCCCAAAGTCTCCGCCGAGAGCTCGATGGCCTGGTTGAACCCGGCTTCCCCGCCGTACGACACATCCACCATCTTGATCACGTTCTTCAACAGCCGGGGGTCGAACAAGTCGCTTCCCTGCCGCGCACATCAACACATCAACACCCACCAACGCAAATCATGTCAAGACAAAACAACAAAGGCCGACAAAAACAAATGGCACCAGGAGAGTACCATGCCCCCAGCATTGTTTGCCCTCTTGTCTTGTGTTGCACATACGTTGTGAATGGAATGTTCAAAAGAGGTTCGAACGGCGTTGTCTGCCGAACAAACACCGCCCATTTCTAGTGGTCAGATGAGAAGAGTGAAAACAACGGCGGCCGGTTCTTTTTCCATCTCTCGGCGGTGTCGCAACACTAAGATTTAATTACACCTTGTAAGCTTGTGCACGTATCCCCGCAACACTTATCAGGTCGGAATATCCGATGTCGTTAAAGTCGTAGCGCAACACTAGATAAAGTCGGAGCGCAACACTAAGATTTAATTACACCTTGTAAGCTTGTGCATGTATCCCCGCAACACTTATCAGGTCGGAATATCCGATGTCGTTCAAGTCGGAGCGCAAATGCACGTTGCTACTGGAATGGTTGGTGACAGTAGGAATAAAATACACACACTGGTGGCCAGAGGGCAGGTTGGGCACGAACTACAACCTGAGGGGGGGAGGTTGGGAGGCCGAGTTCGACCTTGAACCCATTTTTTCTCTAGGCTTGCAGCCCGCCGTGTTGAATGCAATAACGCCACTATCCAAGACGCGGGATACCTTGCACGCTTTGGGCTGCAACCTCCCTACAACCTCCCCCCCCCAGGTTGTAGTTGGTGCCCCAACCTACGCACAACCTGCCGGTGGCCACCCGTGCAAGTATCGCTTTTGACACGTATCCAGGCGTACACTCTCATGACCGGATGGCGAAAACAAAACACGCTTTAACGTCAAGACGGCAATCTTTTAGACCTCAAACTCAAACTGGGGTACTTACTCCACCGCAGAAAGACAAAAAAACGGCCACGGTATATAGCAGAAGCAGCACTTGCGCAACAAGCACATGAGCTGCAACAACAACCACACCGACAACGTGTACTCGTGTCACAGATCAAAATTGGCACCGTTGTTCCTCGTTAAGCAATGCTCGATGCACCTGCAACTCGTTCTTGAACTCGGCGCTACCGGCGAGCACGAGGCCGGCGCAGTTGCACTTGTTGTCCGTGATGAAGAACTGCGTGGCGAACTCCGCCACCTGTTGCATTTTTCATGACACGTCAACCGTAGAACGAGGACGTGTTTAGCAACGCAACCAAACCTGTCCTCTCCTGTCTTAAATCATCCCGTCAATCTTGAAAAATTGTCCCATGGTATTTTGCATTTTCCACGTCCTTTCCTTCGCAACGCGAGCGACTCTTGAGCTGTGACCCATCGCAAAAAACACAGGCATGTGAGCGAAATATCATCCCGGCGCCGCCGCTAACACAACGCTGGCCAAACAAAAACGACTCTGAACTTTGACATGGCGTTTTTCTTCGTTTGTTGGCGTTCTCCCACCTTCCGGACGTAGTTATGGCGCTTCTCCAGCCGAAGACGCGCAAAACGCAGTGCGGACTGCCCACCACGGCCGTGCTTCTTGGGAAGGTCCACGCTGAACTTGTGCAGGACATCTCGTGTGCTGTCGCGCGAGGGAGCGCAAGGTGCAGGAAGCGTCAGAGATGGACCAGGCACGCGTGCTCAGCGCAAACCCGTAAGATGCACGTAAATAGTACACACGTCAGTTGGTATCATCTCTTCCCCAACGGCTGTTTCGCATTGGCGTGGAGCACTGGCGGTAAAAAGGAACCAATTACGAGCAAGGTTTCTGCTGCTACGTCCCAAAAGGTGATGCCGCTTGAGCCGATTGTTTGCAAATTATTCAACCGGGAGTGTCTCGGGAGGTTCGCGTCCTGTAGTCCTACTTCTCACCTTCCCTGTAGAGTGCCGTACAGGGTCCCGTTACCGTCCATGACGATGAAACCGAACCTCTCGTCGTCTTGGAGAAGCTCGTCCAACGCCTGCATATCAAGTGAAACGCCCAACGCGTTTCAGCACTACCGCGTCGTTCAAAACGTACCTCCCGCCGTGAGCATGGAGAGGATGTGGTGGCGAAAAAGGAAACGTAAACGAAACCACGCCTAGACTACAGGCAGGGAGGAGGTGCATGGAGGAAAGCAAGTGCCGTTAATAAAAAACATCTAGAGATCCGATTCAAGAAAAAAAACATCGGTAAAAAGCGTGTCGGACATTTTCCATCGGATAAAATGGACCGGGTGCCATGCGTTCGTTGGGGTAACGATACATCTTCCCTGTCTACAGCAGTTGTAGGTCACTTCCGAACCGCCTGGATAGCAACGGCTGTAGGCACACATGCGGACCACGTGAAACGGCCGGTATTGCACTGACTGTTGATGACGCCACCAGAAACAAGGACCAGAGCCGGTGGCCCCGGTAGTCTAGTTTGTATCCTCGCAATTTTCTAGTACGCAGGGTCAGGGGTTCGAATCCCGGCGTCAGCGAGCTCTTCTTGCACAAAAAAAAAAAAACTTGATACATCTCGCTTCCGTTCCTGGCTGTGGAGGCGCTATTTAGTTCGTGTGTACACTTCGACGGATGAGAGTGCTGCACCCCGCGTTAGAGCTCGAACGCACGCACCGCAGTAAGGGAGCGTAGGGGGCCTAAGGGGAGGAACCCTTCTGTGTGACTGCAGTACGGATTTGAACTCCTGTACGTCAGATACGCGGTGTGTGAGCGCTTACTTAAAAGTCATGTGGAAAAAAAAAACGAGGCCCACACGCGCAACCAAACCGACGACTACGCAATTGTACATGTTATTGACAGACAGCAGTGACGAACCGTCCCTACATTGCAAGTGCTTCTATCTGCACAAAAGCATGTGTGGGCGGAGTATCGTTTGACTGACCTCGGTGTGGAACTTGTTGTCGCACAGGTAAAGCGACGTGTTGATGGCCTTGAACGGCTCGAAATCCAAGTTCATCCGCTTCTCCTTACCCTCGTCCGTTACGATCGTCCCGCAGTAGATCACCAGGCCGTTCGGGGGCACTCGAGAGTAGAGTCTGATACACACACAAACAATATATTGGCATGCAGTCTAAGATATCTTATCTCTGAAGCGGTAAGTCATGCCGCTGCTGTTTCAACATCGCGGTGGCAGACGAAGAGAATCAATCGGATGCGGTGGTAGACGAAGAGAATCAATCGGACGCCGATCGAGAGGATAGCTACCGTAGCTTGGCGCAACGACGGCAAGGCACACACCATAACTCGAGTAGCTAGACACGTAGACATCAATCGGAGCTGCAACGGTTATATGCGTACCTACAGTACCAACGTGCCAGAGATAAGACCAACGAGCAGCGCATTGGCGCTGATTCGCCTCGGCATATCCGTTCCATTCAACCGCAAACCAGTGTATTTGAACTAGACAGCAGCGTATTTGGACTAGACAGCAGCACAGGTTTGGGCGTCGCCGTGGAACACTCATAATTGCGAGCTACCATTGCGCCATGATAACTGTATTGGTGTTTGATCGCTCAGCCAGTTCTTGCTATTCACACGACGCATTTTGCGTTCAATCTCTTCCTTTCATTCTTTGACATCCTCGCGATCGGGGTAGGTATTACAGGCGGTAGACAACACAACACAACCAACAGCTTTGCAATACACTTTCAACAATATTACTCGAGTCCACATGCTGATTCGGGCTTGTATGCATACACCAGACACTACTGCTGCTATGGACACCAACAACGAAACCATAATCGCTCAGCCAGTTCTTGATATTCACACGACACGTTTTGCGTTCAATCTCTTCCTTTCATTCTTTGACATCCTCGCGATTGTACGTTGAAGCAATGGTGAACGTTGCACAAACACGCCAGCAATCAGCACGCACAAACATAAGCAAAACGACGACGACGTTGTGCAACACACAAAACAAGAAGCGCTAGTTCGAAGCACATGGCAGTCGAACAAACTCCTCAGACAGGCGATTGAAACAGTTGCATTTCTACCTGTATGCTACCGCGATTTTTCGCCATTGGACCCATGACAACAATGTTCTCGCCGACCGTCCAGTTGTGTCTCCCACTTGAGCTCCCTCTTGTGTGCATGGAGACAGCACCAGAATTGTTGCCCGAGGTCTTCACTCCCCAGCACGCACACTGACAAACCGCCCGAACCGAACTCTGGAACACAAGACGCGGAAAACACGTCCAACAGCAGTAAAACAGTCCCCTCTTCCTCTTCTTCTCACTTGAGCCTCTGCTGTGTGGATGTGATGGCCGACAGCACGGACAGCTTGTTTACCCGGGACTTGATGTTGGTGGCAGTGCCGTATTCGTCCGCGAGCATCTTGCCAACTCTCGCGATCTGACGCCAGACAGGCAACAAGAGCACAACAAGCAAACGAGCGAGGGAGAGAGGAGAGGTCAAGGAGGCAATAATGGAAACCAGTAGACGAGAGAGAGAGAGGAGAGGTCAAGGCCGGAATGACATGAAGCCCAATAGGTCTTCGGGAGCACCCCTCTGTGAAGCGTAAGCTTTCAATGACAACCAATGGTGGCCAGATGCATAGCACCATGATAATATGCTGCCACAATCCCCCACGCAACAGTGCAAAAGCTGCAGCGTAAAAGCAGAGACACTGGCAACAGCTACAAGATAGTAGTGTAACTGCTGAAAGAAACCAAACGATAGCAAGTACTAAACCAACGGTAAGTGAGGATTGGAGAACTACCCCAACATTCAACGAAGGGTTCGGACAATGCACAAAGTGGCGAGGGAGCAAACCAAACGACCGCCTTCGACGACACGCAGGGCAGTAAGCCAATTTGCCGTGTTGACCCATTCGCACCTGGTCACCCGGCGGAATAACCAGCGAGATCATGCTCGTTCCATTTCTGTCGAGCATCGACGATAGAGAAGCAGACGATAGCGCAGGAACATACACGTAAGAACAGGGGGGAAACAGAGCAAGACGTTCCGTATTGTGCCAGGGTAAAACCTGTGAAATACCGTCGTCTCTCTTGTTGCCCGTGGGAAAGGCTTGCTAGGTCGGCGGACTACAAGCCGTTCTCAACATCGCGGTATATTGAAGGTGTCTGAAGAAGGTACTCTTTACCGATTCGGGTTTGGAAGTCCCCAAGTTGCCTTGACAGGGTTCCCAAGAGTCCATCAACAGGTTTCGCTCAACGTATGTGTGGGGAGGGGGGATGCGGGAAGGCGCGCGCGTGGGGGGTCCTCAACGAAGACCTCTGCAAGCGTGGAGTATTTGTGTATGTGACATCTCAAGCCGGAGATGGTGAAACACACACAATACAATACAGCAGTATGACAGAAGGACAAAACCAGACAACACAAAAACGCGTCTGCTCGTTGCGCAGAGCGTTACGGCAGTAGGGGCGAGAGAGGCGGATGGTGAGACGGGAAGGAATAAGACCAGACAGCAGCAGTGGTTTGCCACTGCGGTACTGGGTACCGGAAACATGCTCCGCAGATCATCCTATAATATTGCTGGCTCGGGTAACGGCACCACCGGGGCGGGCGGGCGGGCGGTACAACGCCCAATTTATTTTCGGCGTACACGGAAACCGAAGCCAGACTTGTCGAGAATTGGCAAGTATTTAGGGGACGGGACGACGGGGTGAGGCGACCGGCCGTTCCCGAATGCGCAGGTGCCAGCCATCAACCAGCACGTGCTGTGGTCAGCAGGTCCGCAAGGAGGCACGTGAGGAGCTTAACGAAATGACGCCAATCGCACGAGAAGAGGACAACCAAACCACGGCAAAAATCGCAGCGCCAATGGAACCACGAAAACTGGCAGCACCAGCGACTGCAACATCAACATCGACCGACAACAGTACCACAGGGGAAACAAAAAGCGACACCAACCACTACGACAAGAGTATAATATTATAGTCCGCTCACCCGCGAGCCTTCTGCAGGGACTTGATCAGCTTCTTCACCTTCCAGATCTCAACCTGCCTGTCCCCCTGGTCCACCTCGGGCATGCTCTTGTGAGACATCTTGCAAACGCCAACAAGCAGGCACGGACAAGCCTTCTCTCCAGGCTAGCGCGGCCCGCTGCCGTCGCTCACTCCCGCCCCTGCTGCTGCTCCTTTTCGTTTGCCCCTTCTCCGCTTTCCTCTCCCTGTACCCCCTCCCCCCTCCCCCCACCAACAAGACGCCTCCGTTCTTGTCGTGGCGAAGCAAGCCCCTGCTGTGTCCTGCTAGCAACCATTTTTTAAGGCACCACACCAGGATAGGGCGAGGTGGGGGGGTCAGTCAGTCGTTCCTCGCTGAGTCTTACAATTACGGGTTCATCGAACCCGTGCATCAAGGGTGAGCTGTGTAGGTGCATCCTCACAGCAGTGATAGCTAGCACTGTGCGTAGCAAGGGTGAAGGGATGAATCAAGATATCGCATTTTCGGTTCCCTGTGGAGGTCTCTGCCGTGTTTTGATGCAAATATAGAGACCTGCACACGTGTTTGCACGTACCGAGGGCTCTCTCGCCTTTCACCAATACAAAAGCACCGCACTATTGGTGTTCATGATACGTACTCCCACACCACCCTCGGAGCGCAAGAGTATGTAAGAGTCGACAACATGACGAAAATACACCCTCAGCCTTTGGTGGCCAGCTTGACAGACGGGCAAAGAGACGGAGCTACACTTGCACATGCGCCTTCGTATGCTACACGCAATCGGCAACAGGAAAAGGATGAGATGCGAATGATGGCCCATCATCTACCACGAAGAGAGCGATGGTGTCAGGAGGAGGGAGTGAAACCAACTAAATTTCTTCTGATCCATCACAGGGATTCGCAGTAATCCAAGACTGTCTCGCTATGGTAGGGTCGACCTGGGTGTACCTTCCTTGCACCACGGCTTTGATGATCGTGATCATCTACATGATCTTCGAGAGACTGGCATTTTTCAAGAAGAGGGGCTACTTGTATACTCGGGAGTATGGTATTCTACAATTGATCGACAAAAGTGTGCGGACCGGTGCCCAAGGTGCTACTGGCGTCGCCTGCTTCTCCCAGAAGTGAGGAGAGACAAGGAGCCAAAAGGCATCGATCGACCAGCAACCACAGCACACACACATGGGAAACGCGCGACAGAGAACTACAACAGGAGCTGGCAGAGGCAGACACAATAGGAAGCCCCCCACTGCTGAGACGTCCGTCGTTATTTTTACAAAAAGTTTTTGTTTCTCCGGCGGCGTCAACGCAAGGTCACAGCAGGTGTCCCTGCCCCAAGCTGCAAGGAGAAGCTTTGATTCCTACACGTTCAACACCAGCGCACACACCACGTAAATCAGCGGGTCCACGCCGACACCGACTCCCCAGGATGTTCGAGAAAAAAAAAGCCAGGTGAATACGGAGAAACTGGAAAAAACTTTCCACCTCCCCAACCGCTTTCCCCGTCTCCGACACGCCAAGCAACAGCTCCGTCTCTATCTCTCTCTCTCTCTCTGCGCGTTGCCGCAGCAGCAGCAGCCGGCCGCACTTCTTCTGTCAACCTCACCTTTTCCGAGCAGATCTAACACACCGGTTCTTCCAGTTTTCCCGGAAGAGGCACGCGCGAGGTTCCACCGTTCTTCAGCTGCAACGTGTCGCCAGGGGGAGGTAGAGGCTAGATAGGGTGGTTCCGCGGCGGGTGTGCGCAAGCAAGAGCGAGAGTGAGGCAGAGCAGGGGCAGGCCTTGTAATGACCGTAAACGACCAAAGGGGGGCATCGCCAACAGGAACATTTCAGGGGGAGGGGGGTGCTAAATGACAACCCCCCGCCACAGCTGGCTAGGCCGGAGGTCCGAGACATCAAGCCAACCAATAACAGGAGCAGCACGAAGCAACCAGACACGGAGCACACATAGCAGCGAGCTACGTGTTGAAGCGAGGCGTGAGTTGTATTGTTGCGTCATATGCGGCATGCGTTGGTGTTGCGAGCTTGTGGAACTATTTTGCAGCTGCGGTTTTTTGGTGCATGTTACCCCACGAAAACAGAGTGACGTTGTGTTATAATAGCACTTTTCGTTGCAATGGGTTGGCAGGTACACCGCAGTACGCTTTGCTCTTCAAATACCCACCACCCACCAGGGCACCCAGCTGTGCAGGACCTTAGCTCTATCGTACAATACGCGCTGGCCTGCCAATGTTACAGGGAGGATCTGTAGAATACAAGTCCGTTCAATACCGGCCACCATGTAGGCAAGCTACTGCTGTAGACACGTGCCGAGAGCTGGTTGCTCCTATTCGACATGGTACATATGTTTTAGATGGTCTGATGTTGCAGGAACTCTCGAGTGCTCTTGTCACTGCTGTATCATTGCTGTATCACTGCATGAGCATACGAGCAATGGGGCTTGACTGGCACTGATTGCCACCCTTCGGATCCTGTTGCTTATGCACATAGTTTCTTCCTTCGATTTTGGCTTCCTTGCATGTCAAAGCTGACACATGGTGTGCCGGGTTGAGGCGGCGTTTGTTCCTTTTATGTATACTGTATACACACATCACACATGCCTCAAGAGTCAACACATGCATGTGTATGTAGCATAGACAACTTTACGCCTTTCCCTGCTGCGCACGTGTGCAACGGCGAGCACGGAAATTCAAGCGGCGGCAGCGGCAGCGGCCGATGGATCAAACCTACCGCCGTAGCACGCCCTCCATGTTACAGGGTGTTGGTCGACACCCTCGGTACCCCGAGCCGAGGGTTTGTTGGCCGATCCCCTGTACCCACCGCTATCGACGGTTGCATACGGCTTTTTGCTCGTGTGCATATTGAGAACGATCATAGTAAATAGTTGGAGGCACGCAACCGTAGTGTATGCATAGCCAAAACACAAACTGGATCATTCAACATGTGCACACGTTACTTCCTGGATCGGCCATCGCTCGAGAATTTAACTCGAATGTCTTGACAACCAAGCACAGCAGTAGCGGCTATGCCCAATGGTCTCGCTCTTTCTCTCGTGTCTTCCCTTTGGTCTTGATCCCAAAACTCGAGGAGCATCATCTTCTTCGTCCTTTTCCGCCGTTCTTTTCCCGTCCCAGCTCCGTAATCAAGCAGGATCAAGACGCGACTGGAGACAACGCGTGAGGCAGCGCAGGGTCGACTTATGCTCGACTCGCTAGACGCCGCTGGCCTGGTAGATGCTCGCACCTCTGTCTGCATTCTGCCGTCAAGGGACACGCAGGGCCTAAAGGATGCTCGCCCAAGGCGTGCGCGCGCACCAGGAAGGGGAGCAGCGGATGTGAAGACGGGAGGCATTTGCCGTGGGGGGGTATGCGGGAGCGGGAACGGTGTCGACAGACATCGCCGATTACCATGCGGCTCGGCGTCCTCCTCTAGTTTCCTGCTGGTGATCTGTATGCTGCTGCCGCACGCTGCGAACGGGTTTGTTCCCGTTCCCAGCACTTCACTGCGGCGACAGCCGCGGGGGCATGACGGCCTCCGCAGCGGGGGTAGGGCCGGCTTGCCGTCGGCAACGCTCGGGGCATCATCATCGGCGCGAAGAGTGGCGTTTTCGGCACCCCCCGCCAGTAGCGGTGGCCGCGCTACTTTCAGCGATGGCCATATTAGTAGTCGGCACTCCTGCCAGTCATCACTGTCAATGTCTTCGTGTGCCTCGGGCGGCCAACAACAACGCCGCCGCCGTCGCCTCTCACGCTTGGCTCCAGCATCAGCGGCAGCAGAGGGCGCCCCCGAGTCCACCGGCATCAGTGGAAGCACGGCCGCCGCCTCCGGGGGGCGAAATCAGCTGAGCGCCGTTAGGCTCGCAACGGGTAGGGTAGTTAGAGGCGTGGTAGCGGCAGCGCTTCGGGCGGCGACGCCCGCGCGCTGTCGGCGCGCCGTAGGCGGCGTGCTAGTGTCGGCCGCGGCGTTTTGTGTTCTCAGGCGCCCGGCGACGGCGGCGGCGATCGGGGGCGCGGCGGCGCAGCGAGGGCGGGCCCTGGTGGGCATGATACCGTCTTCTGTGGGAGCGGCGGCGGGGGGCGTGAAGCAGGAGATGACGCTGGAGTCGGTGGCGCCCAAGCTGGCGCTGTGGTTCACGCTGTTCGTGACGTCGGCGGCGTTCCACTCGGCCGAGATCGCCATCACCACGCTCTACCCGTGGAAGGTCAAGGAATTCGCTGAGGAGGAGGGCATGGACAGCCCTTTCCAGGTATGTGCTGAGCACCGAGAAGGGAATGGGGGGGGGGTACACATAGCCGTGGATGCCGTAGCGGTTACCATCGACCTCACATTTCTACAAAGCCTGGACGGGTGTTTGTGTGTTCGTCACAGTCGTGCATGCCGTAATCGTTAGACCATTTTCCTCGCATCCCTACAAAAAGCCGGGACGGAGCACGCCGGGTTCTCACCGGACCAGCCTCTCACATCACCAAGCGCGAAGCGCCGTGAGGTATTCGGCGAGTCGCATGGAGGGTGCGCTGCATCCTGCTAAGGGTGTTCGGCATCTTGTGCTTACTTCCTTTCGTACGGATAACAGCTGCGAACGATTTATTTTAATTCCTGGTGCTTTCACTTCCAGAGACGGTTATGAGCACTGTGTAACGGCCTCGAGGGTGCTTGCCCAATTTAACGCAACGTGGTGCGATCATCTCCTTTGCGCGGAGTGAGGGTTCTCGACCCCGCTCAACATGATCTACTCGACCACCATTATGGTACTTGGGGGGGGGGTGTAAGTTTTCACGTGTTGTGTGCGGGTTGCGTGCTTGACTGGCCGATGTTTGGTGACACAAGCGATGTTGTGTTTTGTCTTATTCCGAATCGCGTGCGATTGCTTGAAGCTCGGCCTGCCAACGGCTGCCGAGTTGGCAAGCTGTGCTGTAGATGACCCGATATAGCGGCACCTAGGGGCACGCGTACGATTTGCCGCTTTCCAGGGCAGTGCCGCTTTTCCTCTATAGCGGCATATGTGCCCCTACAACACATGTTTACGAATGCGTTATACTTGTGAAGTGTTTGCTGTGCTTGTTCGCAGTGGTATATTGAGTGTTCGTGCCGTGGTTCGGCATTTCAAAACGAAACACAACATCTTGGCCCGTCAGGTGTACAAACAAATATGTACTGCCCGTCAAGTAGCAGCCCGTCCGGTTTAAGAATAAATATCATGCCCGTCAAGTAACAGCGATGCCAAATGTTATCCTGTGGGCCATGGAACATATGGTGCAAAGAAGGAAATCGCGTTGATACAAATGTACGCTCTCCAGATGTGTGCCTCTTGGCAAGGCACGGGCTACAGACGTGATGTTTTTCCTATCCCTCTTCCTCTTCTTGTTCACCACAAATCCCATGAAATCTCCCCCCGCGACCAGGGCGACAGTGGTGCCCGTCCCCCTCTCCCAGTGGTCAGTTTGGGAGTTTACAAAGTTCTAGATCGCGCGTGCTGGCATGATACGTATGGCGCCCACTGTGTGTGTGTGTTGGGTGCGCGCAGGCAGGTGAAATACGGCGGCTCCCACGTTGGAATTGCCGCTATTGGGGGTGTGAGATATCCCAAAGTGCCGATGTATGGGGCGTCGTCATAGCTATAGAGGGTCGAAATTATGACAGGAGATTTTGATGCAGCTATACGGTCGGCAGTTCCGCTATTGAAGGTGCCGCTATATCAGGTCATATCTACTCTAATGGCTTTTTGACTCCCGCTGACGGTCGGTGTGTGTAACTCAGACGCAAGATAGTTGGATTTTTCGTGTTGTTGTTTTCGCTCATGTGGTTATCGCCATGTCCATATACTCCTCGAGTGATCTAACGTGATAACGTCAACCATCAACCACTTGGCGGCAACCTGCGCGTCCAGCGGTGTTCGTGGGCCCATTGGTACTGGGTGTGCGTTGGAACTTGTTACTTGTGGGCTTGCCCACTGGTGTGTGGTGCCGAGTGTTTCACGGGGTTGGTTCAACCCGGCGAACCGGTGCGTCGTGCGGTCTCGGTGTAATAGTCGTTCCGCAGCACCAGCAACTGCGAACACGCGATGGATAGATGCGTGCTCACCCGCTGTCTCTCTCGTGTTCAACGGCAGGTGCTCAACAAGGACATCACCAGAGTGCTGACGACGATCCTCATGGCCACGACGGTGTGCACGATCTACAACGCCGCGCTCTTCACAAACCTCGCCATACAGGTGCAGAAGTGTTGACTGTCCGTGAGATCGTCCCGGACTTGTGTTGGACGGGTGTGTTGGACGGCACGGCAGTAATCGGTTGATCTGCGGCGTTTATATACCTCATGGAAACCTTCCGATTCTGTGTTGTCAGTTTTCATGTTCGCAGGTTCGTAGGGGTAACGCATGTCCTGCCCAGCAGTATTCGGGCACGCTATCGTGACGCCGGTAGTTGTGTCATTTTCCTGTCTCGTTTTGTGGATGCCTTCGTTGTTTCTGCTTCACCCATGGCCAGCAACCCATGAGGTACTGCTCAGGTTAACCCCCAAGGATTTGCCTGCTTCCCTGTCCCTTGTTGTAACTTGTGTAATTGATAGATGTTCGGGTCGGCGGGACTGGCGTACGCCACCGCGGCCCTCACGGTCACGACGCTGTTCTTCGGGGAGCTGGTGCCCAAGGCCTTGGGCGTCAACAACGCAGAGGTCGTGGCGCGGCGGGTGCTGCCCATCATCATCGTGCTCTCCGTCGTCCTCAACCCGGTCGCCAAAACCTTCACGCTTATCTCGACGGTATGGCTGGGTTCTTGTCATTTGTGTGTGTGTGTGCTCTGCTGTTTCAAGCGCCACCCACCCCTTCCAATCGCAGATGCAGCCACGACGGCCTGAAAAGTTAAATAGATTGTTTGTGCACCGGTTTTTTGCCGACATGGTCGATTTCGTACATCATCGTCTTGGCCGAATGATTCGCCGCTCTGTCCCGTCCCACAGCTGATGCTGTCGATGCTCGGGTTCAAGTCCACCGAGACCGGGAGAGTGTCAGAGGAGGAGCTGCGGCTTATCGTAACGGGAGCCAAGATGAGCGGCGGCATCGAGAGCCAGGAAGGGATGATGATCGAGGGCGTGCTCGACCTACAGGTGGGTCATGACCCACCACCTATAATAACGGCCTTGGCCTTTGTTGTTTTTTTATCTTTGAAGGTAACGTCGCATTGTTACGTACTTCAACCTTTACGAAGTACTCCTTAAGTTTATTGTTTCAGCCTCGTGGCTCGTCCTGCCCCGATGCTTTGCTGGCTGGTGCGTTTCTCGCGCACTTCTGGTGGTTGCTCTCATGCAGCGCTTGAGCTGGTGATGCGAGTGAACTGCTTGCCAAGCTTTGGCTTTGTTTTTGTGGTCAGGTGGACTTGAAACAGCCCGCCTTCATGGCTTGCTTTGTGGGCGCCGTGGTTTGTGTGTTTCCGATTGTGTTGGTGTGTTGCGATCCAATAACCTTCGACACTCGTCACAGCAGTCTGATGTGACTTGACATGATTGACATCGTCTACCGGCGCTGGAAGAATAAACTAACAACAGACGCTGCTGTTTGTTCGTGGTGTGATGTTGCTGCAACAACCCGTTCGCAACGGCCGGGGGACGGATGGTGTGGATGGATGGATGTGCTGCCCTGACCACCGTCCAGGACACTAAAATCTCGGAGATTATGCGGCCGAGGGTAGAGGTGGTGGCGATCGAGGCGAACTCGACGATGATGGACCTCTACATGCTCCACCAGGTTAGAACGCATGTTGTGGTGGGGTGGGCTAGTGCGTCAAGTGCTTTTTGTCGTTGATGGCGATACACATCGCCGTCTGTTTTTTGTCAAAAGCGAATTGTGCTTTTGATGTTCCAGTGTCATGGCCCGGATATAGTATGTTGCCACTACTTCTGTGTGTTGGTTCGGTAGTGGCAACCGATCTTATTCCGTCCGTTCATGGTAGGACATGTATTCGCTGTACCAGGGCGTAGAGTACGATGGCACGTTGGCGTTGTGGTAATTGTGTACTCGGCGACACAATCAGGAGGTGTTACGGCGTGATCACGGTACAGCAGTTTCTGTCTGTAACGACAGGGGTGCGAGGATCGAGGTAAGAAAGCTCACCCGCCCTGAATATATTTGGATAAGCGTACACGATGCCGCACCACAGGTGTCACGTTGAATTGAACCCCAATGTTCTAGGACAACGATTCTCCGCCTTGATCAAACTTCTAAGCCCGCGAAGTCTGTCTGTGTGTTTCGGTCCCTTTCACCACCGCCGTGCCTCACCTTGTCTTATTATGGTGCTGCAGTAGCCTCAGACTCTCTCCTCAATCCGCTTTGTCTTCTTTGTCCCCCGCTCACCCTTGCCCTTGGGCCTGCAAGTTGACGACCCCCCGCCCCCCGTCATTTGTGGAAACCCCAGGAGACGAAATACAGCCGAATCCCTGTGTACAGCGGAGAGATCGACCGCATCTCTGGCGTGGTTCTCATCAAAGAATTGCTCGACTTTGTCCAGGTGAAAGTGAAAACGTCGTGGTCTTGCTGGCGTAGATGTGATGAGTTGGTGCGACAATACGCGCCCCTTTCCTCCAAAATCATTTTCTTGGCGAGTTCGCTCAACAGCAGCCAGAAGGACGTTTTTTGGTGCATTGCCTCTCTAGGCACTCAGCTTTAGGCAACTGTGATCCTCAGGCCAGGCACTCGTGCTAGCTATAGTATAAGCCAAGATCGTCCTCGGCTTACATTCGTCCTCGGCTTTTAAGAGCCTGTTTCAACATTCGCGGGTGCCTTGAGCAAGCTGGAGTTACTGAACCGTGCAAACAGTCGGTAATAGGCCTCAGTCTATGCTGTGATTGCGGCAGACTCGCACGTCTAATCTCGCACCTCTGCGTCTGCAGCGTGGATTGGCCGGCTGGTTGACTTGGTGGCGCTTTTGGATGTGAATGTGTTGCGCGATGAATTGCAGGAGCCCGAGAAACTGTCGTCCGTGCTAGTGGCCGACGAGACGGAGAGCACCTACTTCGTGCCGGAGACGATGAGCGTTTGGAACGTTCTTGAGGAGGCGAGTCGGATCTGATTGGTTGATCGATTGATCACCCTCCTTGTCTGTTGTTGTTGTAATGCGGTCTGATCGGTGTCGATTGGCGTGGTGTTTTCCAGGCCTGGTCTCAGGTCTCGTGTAATAGCGTCATGTTATGTCCTTTTTTGTTCACGTGTGTACTCCGAATGATCATGCTGCGGCTGTTCAGCCGGTATGCCGTGATTGCGAGGATACAATGTCAACGTGTTAATGAAGGGATCAGACGCGAAAGGTGCAATGTGGAAAAACAAGGGGTTGTTGCTGATGCTGTTGTTGTGTTGTATTGCCATTGTCCCGCTTGGTGTTGCAACGTTGTTGTCTGAATTATCCGCACCGCCTTTAACACCTACTCCGATCGCGAGGATGTCAAAGAATGAAAGGAAGAGATTGAACGCAAAACGCGTCGTGTGAATAGCAAGAACTGGCTGAGCGGTCAACACCCCAACGCCCACGGAACAGAGTGGAGGCTCTCGCCTCTTTCTCTGCGATTTTATCGGTCGGTAACCGCAGTCCGGTCTACGCGCCTCGTCAATGCTTGCACCTCGTTGTTGCTTGTTTATGATACGGACATGGACATGTATCTCTGTTGCCCCTCTCAAGCGGCTAGCGAGCCAATCATCTCGTCATCGGACCATAGAGCCTGGATATCCCGAAACCTCATCTACCATCCACTTGCCCGCTCTGCTTTTACGCGCGATTTGACTCCCCAGGCGCCGCTCACTCGTCTCACACGGAACACTGGGGAACATTGTCTGACCGCTGCTGATGTTCCGATGCATGGTTATTGCGCGTGTGTTTTTTTTCTGTCTCGTGCGGCCCGTGCGCTCCCCCCTCCCCCTGTGGGAATAATGCCCCGTGTTCTCGAGGACACATGCTCAATGGTCTTACAGCGAAGGCATGCAAAACATGAGCACCCCGTGTGGGAAAAAGGCTCCGTCCTCTCGAGGACGCGTTGTCAATGGTCTATCCGTTAAGGCATGCAAAACATCAGTACCCGCCCCCGCCCCCCCTGCCGCAGATGCGCCGCAGGCGTTTGCACATGGCCATCGTGGTGGACGAGTACGGGGGTACTGCCGGTGTGGTGACGCTGGAAGACATCCTGGAGGAAGTGGTGGGTGAGATCTACGACGAAAAGGAAGATGACGACTTCAGAGAAGAGGAGCACTACATCAACGTCAACGAGGTATGCACACGTTGCTGATACTTGGGGGAGGGGGTGACCTCATACTCATGTAAACGCATGCCGTAGTCGGTAGACCATCCACGTCGACCTGGACAATGCCGGGACGGAGCGATAGGCCGGGTTTTCGCCGACCCGGGAGGCTGCGTTTCACATGGATGAACCAGAAGCTGGTCTTGTAATCACCCTGGTGTTTGCTTGGCCATACTAGATACGTCGTGGCAGTTGCTTGGGGGGGATTATTTAGTCTGTTTACTGTGGTCTTGCGATGTGGGTGGGCAGGCCATGAGTGCCGAAAGGAGCACGGATGTGTAGTGTGTAGGCCTTCGTTTGTATTTTTTTCTGTTTTTCGTGTCTTGGCAGTCGGTCGCTTTCAAAACCTCCAGGAGTTATAGACAGCGATGGACGTGTGGCGATAGTCTCAATGTTCCTTGTCGTGTTCCAAATCGACAGCGTGTATCAGACAGGCTTCCCTTTTATCAGTTTTTCGTGCACCCACGCTTTTCCCCCCTCTTTTTTCAACGTTTCAGTCAATATGTGTGAATCACCCTCGTGTCGACGGCTATTGCATGTATCATGTGTTTGTTTTTGTTTTGCTATCTCTTTTGTTGTCTTGCTTGCAGGATGGAACCTTCACGATTCATGGCATGGCGGACCTCGAGGATGTATGCACCTCGCTCGCTTTCCAGGAGGTATGTAGTGACAGCGATGGTTGTGGTTTACATGTTGGCACTGTCTCTCGAGGACAAGTGATGTTTTTTTTAGGTTCATCCGTTGCGGTGGCGGCGCGATGCAAAGGTGACTCTGTGCTTGGTGATTGATATGATGCTGGCCACTGACATGTAACTCTGAGCAGCCCCTGTTCATTGCTGTCATGTGCGGAGAGGGTCGGCCGTACCATCGCGGTAATTTTGAAATCTTTTGGTTATTATCGGAGTCATGATGATGCACTTGCTGTCGCACGCATCACATGGGGCGGTGGTTGCGGTTTTCGCCTGCCTATCCGTGCAGGCTCGTGCATCGTTGTTGACTGCTGTTTAGGCCAACCCCACCCAACCCCACGGAATCCGAAAGCCGTGGAGGTGGGAAGCTGGTGCTGTTGACGAAAAATAAATCCAATGGTAGTTGCTACCTCTCGCCGCCCTTGTATTTGTTTTTTTGGATGGGTGCATCATCAGGTGAACGAGGACGACTTGAAAGAGTTCGGGACCCTGTCCGGCTACCTGTGTAGCCAGGCTGGCGAAATTCCGGCCGTGGGGGACTACGTCGTCGTCGGCGGTTACATGTTTACCGTCACCAAGGTTGGTTTTTCCGCGTTGCGTTCCAGATTTTTATTTTAGGTTCTGCGGTTCCGGCCAGGTGTAACATGTTGACGGCCACCGAGAGGTTTCGCCCGGTGCTTCCCATGTGCAAGGAGCAAGCGCGAACCCAGTTATATTTTTCGTTTTTCACCGTTCGGCGTGCTTCTTGGACGCACGCACCAGCCGGGGGCACACAATTGTTTTTTCTTGAAGTAGTACTGCAATGGCGCACCGGCGCACCTTGCGGGCCTATTGGTGCTGGCGCGCTGGTCCCACACCACAAGTAGATGGTCAAACGACTGAATGATAGCCAACAGCTGTTGATTTCACCCGCCCTCTCCCCGGCCGCGTCAAACACCCCCGAATCCTCGTCTTGACGCCATGCATTTTTGTTTGCGCCCCATGCGTCTCCTAGGCGGATGAACGTCGCATCGAAGAGGTACACGGTAGGCTTATCGGGGCTTCGGACGCCCCAGACGCGGGGGGGGCGGGGGGCAGCGGGAAGGGGGGGGCGGGTGGAGGGGGGGACCAAGGTGGAAACGGGCTTCAGAAAGGCGAAGACAAGGGAGCGGCGGCGGGGAACGCTGACGCCGCTGCCGCAGCTTCGAAGAGTTCGAGTCAATGATGCACGGAAGGTGCTCCGCCCCCTCCGAAATACCGCGGGTTGCATGCGATGTCGCACCCACCCCCTGGACCGACTTCCAAGCCTCGGTTTTAGTCTGCAGTAAAAAATAGCGACGGGACTGTGCCGATGATAGATGGTGTTGTTAAAAGTGTCTCGTCGAGGGCTCTCCGCAACGAACCCATCATCTGATTTTAGCGCCCTCTTTTCGTCGTGGAGCAATGCCAGAGGTTTGAGATTCGGTCCAGGGGGTGGTGTATCTTATGTCACCCACGGTGGTGCTGCGCTGGTCGTGACACCTCGGCTGTCTTGCCTGTCCTCGATTGGTTTGGCTGAGGGTTGTTGATTTTTGGCGAAGGATTGTAGAGGGCGAGAAAACTGGGGAGTGAAGACTTTGAAGGTGTGGACTGCTGGTGACAAGAGAGGCAACTTTTTCTCGACGCTGCTGACGTTTGTTGCGTGGGAGGTGTCACGCGCGTTTGGTGGAGGCCGTGCTTGTTTCGGACGACGATGGCTTTGAGTCGAAAGCCCGGTGCTTTTGGCTCTTGCCACAAGAAGCTTGTGTGACGCCGGAGATAGATCGCGTAGTCGTGGCTGGGGTGCAGCCCCGCTGGTGATTATAGCTTCGTTGTTCGAAATAGTTGGCGGAAACTAACGCTGTATTTTGTGCGAGTTATTTTTTGTGGTCGTGCGGAGATTGGGAGTATCGTGCAAGGGAAACAGTAAATAAACAAGCTGTGCGCCTGGCCTTCCGCCGAGTCAACTGCTCAGAAAGCTTGACACAATAAGGTGTGCTGACACGTCAGTACGGTGCACTTGTCTCTCCGAACATCTGACCGACCAAGCTTTTCTTCGTCTCAAACGATGTCTTGGTTCCCCCCCAAGTGACATGGTTGCTGCTCCTCTGTCGGTATGTTTATCGGCGGGTGATGCGTCAAGTCATTCCTTGATTTCATGCGGTGGCGCAACGTTCGCAACGCCAGTGTCTTGCCTTGAGTTTGAGGGGCGGCCGAAGTCGGTAGAATTTCCCACAAAGCTTCTCTTAACTCGGTTAGTCGACGTCCGACCTGCACTACATGCCGTAGTTTCTCAACAGCATTGCCACATTCGGCGCCCCGCGTCCTACCAGATTTTCGGGTTACTATTCCCCGCGATGACATGCACGCCGTTGTTGCCGTCGTCGTGCGAGTAGTTTGTCTTCCCCGGAGGGAGTGCTCCGTGATTTAGTCGATCGTCGTAGCCTGGGCCACTGCTTTCTTTACGATTGATGCCTCCTCGGCGTGCGTACCTCCCAAAAATACTTGGGAGGTACCATCCTCCTTTAATTTGAGTCGAAGGCCGGGGCTGATTCATAGTCCAAACTAAATGTGATGGCAAAAAGAGTACCCTTGGCCACATGACAGCCATCATCGACCTCCACGAGGAGGTAGGTCAACGGAGATACAGCAGTAGATGTCATGCTATGCATACGAGTTGGACGAGCAGAAATAAATAAATGTCGTGCAACACCCTACCAACAGAGGGACAGCAGATGCGTCGCACGGAACAACAAGAAAGACGACTCTTGTTAGTCTATGATCCTAGCGTCCCCTTTCAGCACCCACAACAACAACAGCTAACCTTCCCGATTAAAAGCTCTGTTGAAAGGGACGCCCATACACAGCAGTCTATTCAGTCTCCCTTCTGCTCCGTTCGTTGTGCGAGGAACATGGTTCGAATGCGGATGGGCTCCGCCTCTCGAATCTCCGCCGGAAAAACCCGCTGCCGGTTGATGTTTACATCGGGAAGAAGGCGGCAGACACACACGTCATGGACCGGCCGAGTGGTGGTGGTTGGGATGAAGGGGGGGCAGCGAACGAGGGTGTGTGGGTAGGGCATGACATGTGTGCGCGGTACCAGCGGTCATCCAACCTTCGATTCTTGAATGAATCCGGTGGAACCTCGCTGTCTACGTCAGGACGGCTGCTTCCTGCAGAACGAATCATGCGCTTAGCCTTTGACGTCCCTGAGTTGCGAGGAAGCCGTGTGCATCTATGAGCCCGTAGAGGCATTCAACCAATAACGTTCTGAGTTGTTGGTTTGCAATCTCAACTTCATTTGTTTCCAATCGAAAACAAACAACATGTTCTTACTCTCTTTTTGAATGCCGGGGTGGTTTGCCCTCGCGGCTCAAACCAGCCTCAAAACACGATCAATCATTCCTCTCGTTACAAGCGACCATACCATACCTGAACCGATACGTCTGTTCAAATATGCAAGCGTCGGCAGAATGTCGAACATGCCTTTTTTCGCTCGACTATGCACATGTACGAGCTGAGCTAGCAAATGTATCTCCTCTCTCCCCAAATGCTCGACGGACCATCTGAATGAGAAGTAAAAATGCTTACACGGGATGCAGGAATCCCTCGACTAGAGAAGTTGGAAGGAGAGAATGGCGACCCACCGTATCCGATCCCTATCATGATAATCTTGTCTTGCGGATGCTACGAGTTCGAACCACGACTGGAACCGATCGAAAAAATCGGGTTACCTGCGCGTCGGCCTTGAGCTGCTTCAGCTCTTCCAGCTCTTTCGCGTCCGCGAAACGACTCCCCTTCGCGAAAACGTCTGCCACCCGTTGGGTCAGCCGACGTACTTTGGAAGACTCTTGGTCGTTGTAGATCTGCGTGAGCGTCTCAAACAGGCCGTCGACGCACCTGTGTAGGATATAGCGCGTGCGTGACAGCAGTTTAGTCTAGATGCTGGTTTCCGTTGTGGTCGGGTCTGCCGGAAACATTCGGAAGCAAGGAGAGAGAGAGAAAAGATTGACGATCGTTCAACGGTCCTCGACGCACCCGCATGGCTCAATGTACGTACGTGCTTGTTGATAGAGAGCGTTGCTCAGGTTCTTCACGAAGATCGGCGGCAAGAACTGAAGCACGAAGATACAAAGACAGTCAGTCACTGCCCAAACGATAAAAATACGATAGTTTGGTCAGAGTATCAAAAGCGACCCCTTCACACAACAGATTGATAGATCGATAGATAGGCAGCTACTTTGATGCATGATACCTTTGTCTTGCTTCGGTCATATCCTTCTGCAACGCCAACATGCTGCTCTTCACGCCGATCCCGGTGATCTCTTTCGGATCGGGCGGCATGACCGTCCCTGCGTGTCTCACCAGAAATTGAACGTCTTCCAGCAGTTCGACCTTTGTTAGACGGAGAAAGTTCCAGCGGAGCGACCAAGGGGACGATTGCAGCGGCATGCCTCAAGCACCCCATCACTTCAACAGGCGGGGTGGGTGGCACACGTTCTCCCGACAAGAAACGAAACGTCTTCCGAACCATTCCGCCTGATTGAACCATCCCAAGAGGAACAGCATCCTGCAACAAACTACCGCCAGAGATCGTATATCGTGGAATACCTCTCCCGAACTCGCACCAAGCTTATCCCCCGTCGATTCGAACAACCAAGGGCTCGCCCGCTTCTAGCCCTTACTTTGTGGCAAGGGTAATCAATCCTACTACCGTATACTTGCGCCCCTTAACCCAGACCCCCCCATTCTATTGCGAAGGATCCCACGCGACCATCAGATATACCACCGCGCCCACGTGGCACCCCTCCCCATTGACCTCATGCCTCTCCCTCACCCCCCGTGCCCATTCCTACCTGCTGGTAGATGGACGCTATGTACCCCTCAACGGCGGCTGGATCGATCACGTCGTAGTAGATCGCTCGCATCTTCAGCTCCAGCTGCGAGGCTAGGCGCTTCCGTTCGTTTTTTCGCCCGAGCACCGTGAATTTCTCGCGTAGAGTGGAAGCGGCGGCTGTCGGGTCGATCCCGCCGGTGGCCAGGTCCTCGGGGAACAGGCGGTCGCAGTGCCGAGCAACCTGCCTTTAGCGCGGCAACAAAAAGGAGAACAAGTTTGCCTCACCGTTCACTGTTTAGGTTCATTTCAGGCAAAGATAGATTCCGAGGAACAAATGTTGGAACAAGAGCACGTAGGTGTGTAGACCTATGTAAATATAAATACTTGCGTCGCTAACCGAGCCACCGCACTTTTCCCAGAATCCATTCAGCGAGGACAACGGGAGAGGAAACACGCCGCACGTCACTGAAACAGTTTGCAAGGACGAAGCTGTGGAACGGCTGGAGCCTAACACTGCTGTGCGGGGATTGGAGAAAGGGATCCGTGGGGCGTCACTACTGTGGTGCGCTTTCTTTCGTGCTCCCGAGAAGCGGACAGCGACAATCCTTTCTAAGCCTCAGAATGCCTCTTTCGAGCATGGACTCACGTGAGCTCCTGGAGGTCGTTAAAGGCCAGGCAGACGGCCTTGATCAAGGGATGGATGTGACGTCCGGTTGGAGAATCGAGAACTTCTCGGTACAGGCCCGTCGACAGCTTGTTGTAAAGCTCTACCTTCAGGGAAACAAGTGCGAACGCAAGCCTCGTCACCGCCACATATATATTTTTTTCCCGCGTGTTCGTTTCGGAATGCTACAGGTGAGCGGGCAGGTAGAGAGAGGCAAGCGTTACGTTCTTCGTTGATTGCCGACCGAACGGATGGGGAGGGGCCTATGTCACACGGGGAGCACACATCCGTTCCGCGCTATTATTAGTACACACTACACACGTAACCCCAAGCCGAACCTAACAACTTGCGGTCGGTGGGTTTCGCATACTGCTCGATTCCACGGTACCATGCCTGTCGAGAATCTGGTTGGTGGTTGTTCTGTGCCTCCATCATCCTGCCCCTCCCTTTGCCCTTTGCTAAGCACACCTTGATGTGTTTCCTCGCGTCTCTCTCCCTGAGGTACGCCATGAGCCCCTTAGTGTTCCGCTGGAAGAACTTCATCTTAGCTTTCAATGGGGCGCCGCGAAGATCAATCTGCAGCCTCACCGAACAGATCAAGTTACAAGCGGAGAGAGGGGGAACAATCCAATATTGACAGCATGCCTCTCGAGTGCCAGGCTTCGCAGCGCTCATCTTCTCTCACTGATTCGTGTGGGACAATATGCCTGAGTCCCTCTTGGTGCTGATGATGGCCGTTTCACTCGTTTCAGCACTGCATACGGCTCGACTTGAACCTACACCGGCAAGGTTGGCTGTTTGCTGTAGGGAATGTACCTCGAGTATGGTCGACAGGCGGCCAATCTCTCGCGGGAGCTTCGTCAGCGCCGTGTTGCGTAGATCGAGAACCTGTATTTTGTTTTGCGGCGGGATATGGGAGTCGGCGTTGTTCTCGCACACGGACTACGTAAGGGTTGGGGTTGTTGTTGTCGTCGTGAAACCGGTTTGTGCCGGCCCCATCTAGTATTTCCATGGTCAAGACGTACAGTAGCTCAAACGAGGGTCTTTCGTAGATGCATTCACGGCATTCTTCAACTGAAAGAAAAACCTCTTGTTCGCAAGGCTTGTTGCCACGATAGGGACTACACCAAGCATTTTGAGCATCGGGTCCGTGCCCACCAAAAACAAAAAAAACAGACTCCAAGCAGCACGCGGTTCGATTCGCCGGTGCGCCTTCTCTCTCTCTCTCTCTAGACTTCACGCAACGGCTTTAATCTCCGAGGGACTGCTCGAAGTCTAGGCAAGTTACCTTGAGTCGGGTGCAATGCTGAATATCAGGGTGCACGGACGCGATGGGGTTGCCTTGGAGCCACAGGTGCTCCAGGTTGGTCAGCGAGGAAATGGCAGCGGGCACCGAAGGCAGCTCGTTGCAAGCTAAGTCTAACCTGGAAGAAAGTGGGCCCGGGGCAACCAACCGCGGGTTGGTACACATCCAGTAATTCGATTCCAAGAAGACTGGAGGAGCGCCCGAGCACTACCGGAAGGGATCAATCGGTTTGGAACGACCAACAACGTCGGACCAAAAGGAAAAAAAATCGTCAAAATCTTCCTACGTAACATAATGACCCAGGCGATCATGTGTGCCGGTTTAAGTCACAACGCCTGAAAAGCCCGCAACCGGAGAAACCACGATTGATGATTTATTGTAGGACTGAGAGAGATGGAAACCAACAAACGCGATGGGAAAAGAGGACCCATAACGTGAGACGTCGCAGGTGGCGCCCCGGACAAAAGAGACGGTACAACACGCGAGGCAAGCAAAATAACAACCAATCGCAGACGCCTAACACACAGGCAATGGCGTGATTCTCTCTCGAAAAAAGTGCCAACCCACTCACAAGGACCACACCCACCCGTACAAGAAACCCGGGCTCAGGTTTTCGACAAGATAATGGTCGGCACCACACTATCATCAGTATACGAGTAGCTCGTGCTCAATCGCTGAGACATTCATGGTGAAAGGTTTTTGAGCCTACTTGCTGTAGGTGTTTCTTGTGTGAGCCGACCTTTCTACTGCTGCTACAGATTACTCTGTTGTACCGGCCAGGGTTTAGTGTAATCACCGCCGCCGGGTTTGCGAAGGCCGTGTCGTTGTTGTCCCCACCACACTACCCACTCATGCAGTTTTTGGAGGAAAATACAGGAAAAACGACCCAGCCCGCTCAAACTTGCTGTCGCCATTGCCCACATGCTAGCGTGAGGTTACTGCTTGAGTGGTCGGCCGCTCGTCGGAACCTCAGCAGCATGTTATGCTATAGATCGGTGTGTGTGCTTTCAGCGGTAAGCTCGGGAAGCACATGCAGCAGTGCTTTGAGCACGGAGCAGCAACGGTATTCACTTTTACCTCGTCAGGCCGACGCTTCGAAGAACCGGCCTTGGTATTCGGCTCAGCCCCATACCCGTGAGGTGAAGCACTTTCGATCGGTTCACCTGCTCAAGATCACCGCCACCCATCGTTGCTGATGCTGTTGCTGTGGCCGCTTGCACCCACCAGGACTGATGGCCTGAAGTGCAGAAGAGGGTATGTAGTCTATATGCGCAACGAGGATACGTGCGAGTCCTCTCATGTGTCTCCCGACAAAGCAACCGGTCAAGACCAAACCAAGCCCGGTACGAGAGGGTTATCGTGTGGCGGCGATCATAGAGATGCCGACGGTGTCGACTGTAGTCTATGATGCTGCTGCTTGGAGTAACGTCGAATCAAACAAAAAAATACTGGTGATACGCGTTCATGCTACTACTGCTGATGTGTGAAGAGATTATACACCCACGAAGCTTCGAATTTTTAATGATCCGAGTATTGCAGGAGACACAACGTCGAACAACATATACCTACCTTTCGTCTCGTTGTATTGTTGTTTTAGTCGCGATCCTGAGGTGCAGAGGAGGAGAATGCGGAGGGATTATCCCACCAGACATACGTAAAGAAATAATAAGTAGTGTAGTCTAGACGGCAAGACTATTACAATGTAGCAAGATTGCAAGATTGCGCACGTCTCCACGTCTTCTCATTGGTCTACCAAAAATATGCGGGGCAATTGCTGTTGTACGAGATGTTTGCGTGTGGCAGAAGGTGAGACAAAAAAATTCCGACGCACACATCGGTCATACCACGGCACAGATACGCAGCGAGATCTGTAGCTGTTGCCTGGAGGATCGACTGCCATACGGGCATAAGGAAGGTAAGAGCATGTACGGGTGCTAGAAGAGGGGGTGGGCGTCAGCCAGTTTGCGAAGCGTTGGCCCCGTACCTGGTATACGTGCAGGGTACTTACTTCACTTACCTCATCATCTGCAACAGCTGCTGCGATTCACCATCATCTCCAGCCTAAACTGCTGTACGCACGGATCCCCTATGAAAACTTACAACTGGTGCTTCCGGGATTGTCTTGTTGTTGCCTGGTTTGGCTCCAGGGCTACTGCTGTAGCTGCGGGTTGTGCGCCTCTCTCTGCGGGTGAAACGCCGGCGTGTGGGTGTGTTTGTCCCTATTTTATGTAAGTTGTACAACAGCAGTAAAGTCTCTCTCGCTCATCCGCGGTTTCCGTCATGTAGAACGCCCGCCGCTGAAGCCGCCCTCTCCTCAGTCTCAGTCGGCCAGTCACCAGGGTTGTTAGGCCTGCCTCGCGAAATGGTACGCTCCTACGTAGCTGCTAACAGCGACAAGCAGGTTGTAGAGCCTCAAGCAGGTTGTAGAGCCTGGGATGGCAAGCCGTGCAGTCGCAAACACGCATGCTCTGGCGCGGCCTCGGCTCGTTGTCAACGTGGGACCGTTCTCCATCTTGGGCACGTTCTTTTTATATTTTGATGGTATTTCACCACAATAGTAAGGGATGCGTCTCGTGTGTGAAGCACACCTACCCCCGCACGACTTATGCGTGCGAGGCCGATGACTATTGCCCCTCCCCCATCAGGACTTGTACTACCGCGAACGTGTTTTCGCTCCAAGTCACATGCGGCAAAACTCGGTGCTCTGGGTTAGTTATGCACTTGACCATGTTGAGTTGAACATCACAGGAGTTCGTCATCATATCGACCGACATTGGCGTGGGTACTGCTCCTGTAATGACGACACATTTTCAGACCTTCCTTGCGTAAACCCAGCAGTGTTTGTTTGCATCGCGTGTCATGGTTTCCTCGAGTGTTCCCTACAGACTTCCGCGCCGCGAAAGGGCTGACTATTGTATCAACCTTTTCTGATCTGATTCCCCCATCCCTCTCCGGCTAATCTGAATCTGAATATCTGAATATCTGAATCTTGGTGACGGCGATGTGTGAATAGAACGGGACGACAAATAACGCGGGAGTGGAAATACGACTGCGCTGCGTATCCAAACACCCAAACTCATCGGCTAAGGTGACCGTTCAGGTGACCGGCAGCGACAAGGGTTGTTGAGGGAAATAGGGTTTTCCTGTAGCCGCAATTATGACGGGGGGGAGAGCGGCGATCGATTTGACACAAGGATCGGGCAGGCGCACCGCACGCGCCATAACACCACTGAAAACGCCAGCAACACCTGCCAGACTCACGTCCGTTGTTTGTCAACACCAAGACATCATGCGTGGCGCCCTCGTCTTCAACTGCCGTTGATGCACTGCTGTTTTTTTTTACACCACACCAACCAATGATCACACATGATAACAACGGGGACAGCAGTAGAATGAGCGCACCAGCAGCGCCAATGCCTCCAATGCGTGATTCTCTCGGTCCGGCCGTCTATCTCATACTCACCATACAAGTAGGACTTGGTGTGTATTGTGTAATGGGGGCTCGGGTGCTGGTCGTGAGAATTAAGCGGGAAGATCCGGGGTGTGACACTGCGCCCTGCTCCCGATGCTGAAAGCTGAAAACAGCAGGCCGGGTGGGCAGGGTCTTGCAATTTGCGTGTGTGCTGTCCTCACTCCCTGCCGGGTGCTACTCTTCGTGCTTGTACCGCTGCTCTATGGTGAGCGAAGCCAGGTGGACCCGTCGTGTGTCGAGCAAAGAGGGTTTCGCCAAAAGAAAAGAAAACGATGGCATCACGATAGTATCACTACGAGAAATCCTCGGACCCGATCCGTGTTAAAATTAAACGGAACGGGATATTTTGTTGTTTCGTTTTGGTTTGTTCCGACAGAAACGGGCCTCAAGATGCAGCAAGGTTGAGGATCTCCGCGTTGTGAGCTGTAGAGATGTGATCCATCATCATGCACAGCAAGCAACATACGTTCTTGTCGTATGGCTTGCAGCGCTGCTATGCAAATGACCGATCATCACGGGAAGACTTTTAGCCCGTAAGATTTGATCGTACAATATTGTATTTTCGTCGTGCAAATACATCGTTGTATATATTGGCAAGTTTAATTTGTCCCCACCATGATCCATAATCTCAGTTGGTCCTTACGACGAACACACAAGACTATCTGACGACCCAGCCGCGGAGTCTGATCGATTTACGCGAGTTCCTCGCTCCGACAGATGTACTCTCCCTCCCTCTCTCTCTCTCTCTCTCTCTCTCTCTCTCTCTCTCTCTCTCTCTCTCTCTCTCGCTCTTCTCATTGCTCCTCGTTCGTGGTACCTTGTTCCTGTTTTATTGGTGCGTCGCCGGCTCGTTGCCCTCGAAAACTCAGCCAAATTGCGGCGGGGAAGTCACTTTGTTCATTCTCTTGAGAGCGCCCCCCCCCGCCATTTCCCTTGCCTCGTCTACGGACAGGAGGGGTTGTTGTTTCGAGCTGGGTGAAGACATGGAGGCTTGGGGAGATATGGAGGTAGCCGTCCCGCAGGGAGACTTTGGGAGCACCGGCACCAGCAGGGCCGCTGGCGGCACCGGCGGCAGCAGCGGCGGTGCGGCGTTGGCTCCACCGGGGGTGTTCGTTTTCGGAGGCGCGACACCTCCTCCGCTACCGCCTTCGTCTGCGGGGATGCAGCAGCACCAGCAGCACCAGCAGCAGCAACCGCTACAACAGTGGCAGATTCAGGCTCAGGCGGAGCAGAAGGCTGGGGGTCGCGCACGGGTGCCGTCGTCGTCATCGTCATCCTGTTCCGCGTCCTCCTCTTCCCTCCGACGCAAGCGAGGATCGACGTCGTCGTCAAGGACCCGCTACGCCATCCCTCACACTACCGGCGGCACAGCGGCGCCGCGAGCGGGTGCGGCGGGTCAGGGCGGGGCGGGTGGTCTCGTCGGTGTCGGTGTCGGCGGCGGCGGCGGCGGCAGCGACTGCAACAGCGGATACGTGGTCCGCACCCGCAACAGCTTCGCCTCGAGCGCGTCGACGACGACGGAGAACGCTGGCCGTGGCGGTGGCGGCGTTGGCGGTGGCGACGGTGGTGGCGGTGGCGGCGGGAGCGGCAGCAGTACGGACGCAGCGGCAGCGGTGGCGGGAGCGGGAGAAGGAGCGGGGAAGCAAGGGCTACCTGTGCAGCAGCAGCAGCAGCAGCAGCAGCAGCAGCAGCAGCAGCAGCAGGGTGGGGGTAGCGGGACGACGGGCGGAGGCGGGAGATCGTCATGGTCTCGTTTGGACCGCGCCGTGAGTTTCGGCTGTCGTTTTGAGGTGTCCACGGTGTTTGCGCGCTGTACAGCGGGTGTAGTCCTTCGCGCGTGTTTGCTTGTTGGAAGGCAACGCTGGAGAAGTAGGATGCCGAGGTATGTATTTCTGTCAACGCGAGCGAACGCGCGCGGCTTTCGCGTGATTTTCGTGCTGGGTGAGTGGACCAAATGTCACCGACGCGGCGTGGTGGATCGTGTTCATCTCATCCCCGGCGTGTTTGTGAGGCCGGTGTATGTTGTGCGCGGCGGCGGGGGGGTGGCTTGTGCACGTTCATGTGGGGCTTGTTTTTGTTCTCTTCCCCACGATCTCAACAAGAAGTATCCAACGCGGCCGCGTCTGTGACTGCGCTTGTGCTTTTCTCTCGCAGGCTGCCCTACGACAGCAGCAGGAGCGACTTCTCCTCCTCAGGCATGCCAGCAGGTGAGCGGAGTAGAGGAATTGGAACAAGCAACACTGGAGTGCCGCGTTATTGCCGACGTTCTTCCAGCTCAAGACCATTAGCTGCCGTGTAGCTGTGGGGTACCACGGGTATGTGCCCTGCACCTAGCCTGATGATCCCGAGAAATTGGTGCCGAATCCAAGTTGGAGACGTGCCAATACAATTCTGAGGAAACCTTTCAGGTGCCGGCATGAGCCTAACCGCGCCCGCGCGCGGCCATTGGCCCCCCCGACACTTAATGATCCAACAACACGCGGAAGCACTGTCCCCCCGCATGGGTGTCCCTTCTCTAGAGTACTGCGGACGATTGCCCGAACCCACAAACGACCACGCGGTGATCATCATGGCAAAAAAGTCGACGGGAAATAAGGGGGTCATCCCCGTGCCCACCTCTTTCTGTATCTCTCTGCTTCTCTTACTCTCTCTGACGATATTTCGTGGGATTTTGCAACTTTTCTGGAGGTCTTTCTCTCTGCTCGAAACGAAAATACAGAGATGTGCTGGCCTGCTCTCTCCCCCGGCAGTGGCATGGTGCACAGCAGTAGACGGAGCGCAATTTGACTTTCAGCTCACCAAGTCTGGAAGGTGCACCGGTCCTTCGCCTGTCCCACGCAAGGTGGTCTTGGGTTAAATCGTCAAAGGCTGTGCGCCCTGTCCCCACCTACCCCTCCTCGATGTGGAAAGCCCTTTCCCACGAGTCCGTGCACTTTCGGTGTTTGGAATTTGCAGCACCCCTAGACGACGTTCCCAGATCTAGCGCAACGTTTCTTCGGAGGTCTCTGATCCTGGTTACTCCCCTTGCTTTTGGCGGGTTTCTCCCCTCCCTAACTTAAAACTTTAAACAGGTGTCCTTTTCGCGAGGAAGGCCAGTGTCCGACGTCGCCTCACTGCCTGGCCGTCAAGGTGCTGTGGAGGCACATCGCCAAGTGCATGGACGCGTCGTGCATGGTGAGTGCCCTCTGTGTTTCTTGTCTTTTGGGGGTTGCGGCGGGATTGGTTTGTGTCTTTGCTACGGCTCATCAAAAGGGAGGCATCGAAGGCGAAGAAGACGAAGGGACAACGGAGTTACCTCAAGCAGCTCAAAACGGCCGAGGAGCGCGTCTTGATGTTTGCCAAGCTAGACCACGGTATGTAGCTCTGTCACCGGGCGTGCGAAGTTACGCCGCATGACCACATGGCACCAGCGTGCCCGATGCGTTTGGTTAGTGCAGTGTCTGGACCTTGTCATGCTCGCACCTATAGTTCGACAGAAAATAGGTACGTTTCTTGCTAACAGCTTAAGAATTTTGTGAACGAAAATTCTTTGCTTGCCGAGTTGACGTCGTCAAATCTCGTGCGAATCGAAAACGAGTTCGCTCCAAATCTCTAGCACTGTTTGTGCATCGCGTGCCTTCCCTGGAACAAGTTTCCCCCCTTTGTTTCGAAACTAAATGGTGTCGAGGTGTGTCTTTTCTCCCCCTTTGCTACGAGTTTCGAGGTGCATGTTGTCTCTTGCAGCGACGTGTTCGTGTGCGATTTCAAAACGAAACACGTCGCGTGCGCGTGCCGCGATGAGGGAGCCAAACGGTGGCGGGCACCCAAGGGTTTAGTGGTCAGCGCGTGCTCCATAGGCGGGGCGCTCTCCTGTTGTACCTATGCATAGTCGTGCCGAGTACTGATTTCAAGAATGCCACCACTGCTTGAAGCGGGTTCCGTGCAGGATTTCGTCTCGCCTCGTACCGCGTGGCGGCGACAAAGCTCAAACGAGCTGTTATTATCGTCCACGTGCCATCGTCAGTCTTCAGCCAACACTCTTTGAGTACAAGAACGTTAATCGTGTCGTCTAAGATACGTGATGTCAATTGAATTTGTTCTATTCTGAACAATACACTCTGTTTTTTAGTACGCCCTTGGTTATTTTCTGCAAGGTGTAAAATATTGTTCAAGACGACGAAGTTCTTGCTCGTTCTTCAAATGTTTTCGTCTTGCCGTGTGTCAGAGCTTTCGTTTTCTCTCATCACCACGCTCCCCTTTTTCTTTTCTATTCCCGTAGTACTTTCCTCACCGTAATACCATGGCACGACGAAACCAAACCATACCATTTGAAACCGTCGCCGCAACAGGTCCCACACTGCGCCTCGTCGCGCTTCGTGATGGGGCATTACCACAAGTGCAAGGAGCCCAAGTGCCATCTGTGTGGCCCCGTGAGGGCGATCATCTCTAGGGAGAGAGACGAGCAGCGTCTCTTGGGACGAACTGAGTCGTCGGACGATGAGGACAGTAGCGACGACAACGATGGCAGCGGCGGCGGGGGTGGTGACGATGGACGTGGTGGCGGAAAAGACGATGATGATGATGATGATGACGATTTATAGGTTGGTGCATTTTTTCGCCCTCCTTGGGTGCACGAGGTTGCTGTTGCTGTTGCTGTTGCCGTTGCTGCTCTTTGTGTTGCCTGTTTCAATGTTCATGTGTGCTGTGCATGTCGAGGGTGCGCCGACCCAGTTGTGTTCGTCGGCGACAGTTTGCGGTGGTGTTGAAGAAGAAAAGCGTTCCGCTGTGGTGCATGATAGGTGTTGCCGATTTCCAGCTAACTACGTTGCTTGGTTGCGACCGGATTATTGCTGCTAAGGCGTGGATGGTAACGGCTTTACCTGTGTAGAAGTGTGTGAACGTTTATTTGTCCGATGAGGCTCAAGGATTGACTAATTTGCGGAGCTCTCTCTGTGTTTGTTCAGACCTCGTTGACTACTTTCGTGGTCCGACCCCTCAGCTGTGTTGAAAGGCTCAAGAAAACACGGGGTTTGTTCTGCCGGGCACCATTTTTCCAAACTCCATTTTTGATTTTTTGCGTACAACGATCGTAACATCCGCGACGCTCTAGAAAATGTTTTTTTTTTGCGATCGTTTCTTGTTGCGGTCGGGGTTTGTGATTCTCTCTCTCTCTCTCTCTCTCTCTCTCTCTCTCTCTCTCTGCTTTTGTTTTCGGGACCATCCGGCTATTCTCCTGTTTTTCGGTCTTTCGTGAACAATTTACGACCCGTCTTCCCTCCTCCTTTTTGTTTTCTTGCCGAAATCAACGCAACCGGAAATTTTTTTGTAGCCAGTCAGGCATGTCCTGCTCTCCAGCGAGTCTGACGTTTTTTGTTTTTTTGTCGCGTGCTCGTGGTGGAGGGTAAACGAGATACTTGTTATCTCCCTGCCTTAGGTCTAGTTTGTGTGTCCGCAAGTCCTGTGCTGAAAGAGGCCCAATCGGGGTGAAGGGTTAGCAATAGACGAAATAGATGCTTGCTCTTCTCCTCTTGCTAATCAGAAAAACGTTGGCTTTATTTCTTTGTGTACATAATGTTTTTCGGATGTTGACATCAGTTGGTAAATGGTCTGCCTAGATACCGCCTGCGTCGGCGATTTTTTTGCACGTAGGGTGCGGTTCCCACGCAAGATTCTGCCGCTGTTGCTGGACGGGAATGCGAAAACGCGTTGGTTCCAAATTTGTTTTGTGTTTGTTGTTGCTGTATCCTTCAGCCCCCAGCGCTTTTTACACGACTGGTATGTCTGTCTTCTCTCTTTTTGGTTGGAGGTGGAATATTTATGTTGCGATTTTTGTCCAGCCAACGCAAGCATGGGATGCTACTGCTATCCTCTCTGTGATTTTTACGGATGCGTTTGTCGGAGACCTACGGTAGTAGTGGTCCTCTTGTCGTGAGATTCTCGCTCACAGTATGGACTGATTTGGGGTCGGTTGATGTGCCTCCTGAACGAGGGGGCTGGTTGATGGTACGTTTGCATGCGAAAAAGTAGACAGCTACAGAAAAAGTAGACAACTACAGCAACTCTTCGCCCCGTTGTTGCGGGACACGTCTCTTCATGTGTAGTTATTTCTCACGTTTGTTGTTCCTACAAGATGCCTGGTCTCAAGTGATGAACCTTCCCACGAACAGCTTGCTTTCTTGTGAGGGTTTCAGAGTGAACAAGGCGACGGGGTAAAAATATTTTCTGGCGCCTCCGAAGAAGTGCATCAAGCAGCAATAACACGAGCGGTGCAGAGTCCCGCATTTGAAATACATTTGTGGGTGCAGCAGCGAGAAAAAAACGCGCGGTTCACGACGGAAAACGGATTTTCGACGGAAAACGGATTGCTGTCGTTCGAGATCTTTCCAAAGATGCAGGCGGGGGGAAACTCGGCTTTTCGGGGGGCGATGCAGGATTTTTTGGGAGTGCCCTGTCTTGTTTTTGATGAATCAAGGTTTTACTTGTGAGCCAAGTCAACCCTGCCTCTCGAATGGCACGTATGATATACTCCGTAGTATTTCCCCTTGAACACGTGGCTATCACCATTCCAGCCACCTCGAGATGAGCAGCAAAATTACTCTTTGCGTGTGGGACATTGAAGTTGGTGACGGCAGAGCGACCACCTCCCCGCCAACAAATGTTTCTCTGCAAGCGCGAGAATGAGTTGGCGGGACGGGAGCGGGAGCAATGTAAACGGGTGGTCGTAGAGGAACCTGCCAGGAATTGCAACCAATCAATCTGTTTTTTCATGTGTTTACGCCACTTGCCTATCAAGTCACCCCTAGACTATATCCACTGCTACAGCAAGACAGCAAGTGGTGCACCATCAGCTACAGTTACGTTTATCTAAACAACACAAAAAAGTGTCGCTTGAACCGCCTAACCGAGAACTGGTGCCAAGTGATTGATCCCCAGCATCAATCGGCCGGCTGCGAAGGTGAGCACACAACAGAAAAATATCGAACATACCAGATGATATAATAAAATGGTAAATACTGTACCCATCATGACTCTACCGTTAAGTCTACATGTATCATTTCGTTTAGACTCCCCTATTAAGCCCAGTTCTGTCGATGTGACTGCGACGTAACCGAACGCGGGAAGACCCACGGCTATTAACATGCATAGCAACCACAAGGAACGGCAACCGTTGATCTGTGTTGTTGTCGAGAGTATCGTATCGCGCATCCTCAGCGCAGCGTACTTCCCCGGCGGTCTTGACGCCCCCGTGATGTATCGATCAACCAACACAGGAGCACTACAGAACATAGACTGCATTCCAGGTGACACCGCAGATATTGGGTAACTCTGTTGTTGTGTATGTCACAACAGTAGTTGCCCCATTTCGCTTCAGAGGCGGGTCAGCCGTGGGCTAAACTATCGTCAGGGTCGCGCCTGTCTGTGGCGTGCGATCGAGTGTCAGGAAAACTACTCTCTCCATCCAACCTTGACGCACGCCTCTCCTCTCTGGCCATTGCGGCCACACGGACCAAGCGTGAAAGAGAGCACCCACATACCGCAAAGAGTTCGCGTCGCTGCTGCAACCTTCGCCAGTCTCCGCGAAACAAAGAAGGGACTCACTCTCCCGACGTAGTCGGCATAGATGCAAAAGACATCGACAACTATTACAATATCGCCAAATAACTTTGTCTGCTGGATTTTCATTCACTCGGGGAAGCATGGCAGGCGGATGACGACGGCGGTGATATCGTCGCGATAGTCCCCCTCCACCTCCCGCCACTTGGTCGCCGCGGCCTCGATGAGGTCTTGCGTCGCCTGTGTGCAGTGTGTCCGGACGAGACGCAAAAAGGGGTCTGCAACTTACTATTCAATCGATAATCACAGGGTCGCTCGTCTCCAACACCCCTACGAACTGCAAAGTACATGGAACGGGTTCCCGCCGAGTAAAAATAATCTTCCTCGTTGTGCCTGTACCACCTCTTACGCAATTTAGCAGCGCAAGGTATCAGTTGTCGGAGTCGGGCATCGAAAAGCGCAATCGCCTTCAACAGAATACGGTCGTGTAGACTACTGTATGCATGCATCCACCTGTTGTGCCACACTGCCGTACATACCGGGGTGTTCTCCTGGCCGACAAATTAATACGTTCAGGCTTGCACCCTCGTGGCTTCCCTCCGTTTGCGCGTGTATCCCCATCGGTCTCCCCCCTAAGGAACAGGTGGCAGCGTCACGCGGGGCTCTCACCTTCATCGTCCCCTCCTCCAAACTGGTGTTGACGATGTCGATGGCCTCCTGGCTCTTTACGAACTCCCACACGCCGTCCGAAGCCAGCACGATAAACTTGTCCCCAGCCTGTACACATGTCCGTTTGGTTTTGTGAGAACCTGAGCTACCCATGTTCTCAATCAAGTGTTCAAGAAACCTACGCGGTGCTTTCAAGGTACAACGTTTGCGTCGGTCCTGGCTCTGGCGGCGGTCTACCCAGGTGCACAGCCAGTGTAAACTGACCATACACTGGCGACAACAACAACGGCAGCAAGACAAAAAGACGACGCACGACGTCCGTAGGTTGATGCGAACCTTGTACACACAATTGTTGATGGCCGTTGAGAGTCTCTCTAGAACTCTCGGGCGGACTCCCGTCGCTTTTGGGGCAACAATTTACCATAAAATACCCCGCAACTGAATACTACCTCATCACCCCTGTTGTTGTCGCCAGAAAACAACAATAATAGAGGTTACGTAGGAGAATGCTGAATGCAATTGACTCGGGAGCGCCAGAACACGTTGATCCAACTCGGATAACGCTGGAGAGGACCGAAACCACTCTGCAGACGTTCATAGCAGAAAAGTCGTGCCGACGACATTCTCAACGGCTCTGTTGTTGCCATGACCCTGTCTCACCGCGATCGTGTGCGTCGTCACCTCCGGCTCCGCCACCACCCCAATAGACTTCACCGCGTGGTCTCCGATGGAGCGTGCCATGGCCAGCCCTATCTGAGTCATGGCAGCGTCGAGCCAAACCCTCGAGCTGAGCCCTGGCTCGGGAGGGGGGCTGACAAACCCTCCTGCGGCTTCAATGCGAGCCTAACAACGCAGAAGGAGAACGAAGCAAGGAGAACGAAGCAAGGGGAGAGGAGAGGGGATGTGAAGGGGGCAGGCGTTGGGAGAGGAGGCGTGATCCTAGAGAGCCATGAAATGGGAAGGGGTAGCACATCATGGCCCAGAACCTCCTCGGACTCGAGGTTCTTCAGATGAGGAACCAGCCCAACGTTGTCAACCCTTACTTCCGACCTATGAATTCAATTGTGGTAGACTACATCTATAGCCCATCGGAGTACTTGTCGCGTGTCTACGGGAGAATATTGTACCACATATGTGGGAGCACGAGCGAGTCAGGCTTATCTACGATGGCAGGGATACCCATAGCTCGGATGAGTCTGGTTCACTTCCTGGCGTTTATTTGGTCCTGTCGGGGGAGGTTTTCTCTTGATTGGCGTCGTACTTCGAGGAGTGTGTTTTCGGAAAGCGCAAGAAGAGATATGAGGAAACCTTGGACGGGGCAGGATAGGTCCACAGATTTAGCTAACTGTACTTGGCTGCGGAGGGTGGGCAATGTGCCCAAAAGGTTGCTTCGCCAAGGCGCGTTCAATAGGAATCACCTGCTCCTTCGGGGAGTTCGGGTTCTGGTCCACGCTTAGATCGACCGCCTTAAGCTCAGCCCCGTCCTCATGAGCGAGCACGGCGCGGCTATCCCCCGCGTTGGCGATCCACAGGTTGTTCTCCCGCATGAGCACCGACACCGCCGTGGTTCCCGAGAAAGTCGCCTCTTCCCCCTGACATCGCCAGGTGTCGTGGGAAAACCCGTTAGTTAGTGTCGGGTTGGGCTGGGTCGAATCGTATGTCTCCTTCGGAGGAACGAGAAAACAAACAGCCAGCAATCCTTCTCCGCGCTCTCTCTGTTTGCCGCGCCTCATCGCGAACTCTTCTCTCTAAGAAACCGGACCCCCTGGCTTCCCCGGGCCCGTTCCGTTCCATTCCATGGTTTGCTTGACTCACCTTCGACGCGGCGAGCGACTCGTCGACCTTAACGTAAGACTCCATGAGAGCCTTGGCGGGGTCGTCCAGCAGAGAGGGGTGCGCCGCCAAGCACGCCTGCAGCTCGTGCATCACAAAGTTGGACACCACATCCCCGTGCTCTCCGTGTCCTGTCGTTTGACGCCGAGAATAAGGGCGGCAGGCACTTAGCACACAGACCACCGTTCTATTTACGGTCTTGTACCTCCAAACACTGTGTTTTCGAGAGAAAAAGCAGTGCTCAAGCCCAGCTTTGTAGCTCACTCGCGACCCCCCCCCCCCGCCCCCGCCCCCGGTGAACACGCACAAGAGTGGACTTTCGATTTCGTGGAGCCCCTCCCCCCCCCCCCTCCTCCCTTCTTCCCCCTCCCTCCAATGCATGTGAGCATTCGCCCATGCACGGCCCAACATCTCCTCGGACAAGCATGCTGCCCCTTTTCTCTCTCTCACCGTCGAACACCGAGAAGAGGGCGTGCTTGGGGTCCTCGTTGAACGGGTACACCACGCAACCCCTGTCCTGGTTGATCTTGGCAGTCACGCCGTCGTCGTCGTCCCCACCGGTACTGTAGCTGGGCTCCACGCCGTGGCACGAGTACGTCCCCACCTGCATGATATTACGGGGCCGCTGTCGGGGTTCAATACGATGGTCGCGTGGCGACAGTATTGACTCAAGGTGCGCGCATTGAATACGGCCGCAACCCGGACAATAGCCAGGCTCCACGCGGTGTCCTCGAACTCGCGCCTACTTGCGAGTGCTGTGGAAGGGACAAGTCGGCACAGGCTCGTGAAGTGACAAGCCGTGTTGGACTCTACATTTATGTTTTTAAGTGACAGCAGGAGATGGGCTTCGGGTCGCGAGAAACGAGCACCCCTTACCTTGGGGTTACCGTATAATGTTGGTACATACCGCTATGCCGAAGGCACAGAGTAAGGCTACGTACACGGGTGGAACGCTCTCCAAGGGTGCCCTCAGACAATCCAAAAAACGAAGGCATCGCACGCAGTATCGAAAATAACGTTGTTGTCGTCGCTGCAGTCAATTTCGCCATCGTCGGATCAAATTTACGCCGGCACCCTTCGGCACCCTCCACCTTAGTCACGTCGCTTCACCTTGGTCACGTTGCTTTGAGTACGATCAACGTCGGGTGGTCGCCGGCTATTACCCTCCTTACCTGCTGCAACTGCAACCACCTACCCCCCCCCCCCCCAAA